CCCACCCAAGCACGAATTTCATTCTGGGTAAAGGTATTACTTAATATTTAATATTACAAAATTGCATCCTGCATAATCTGTTCAGATCAAATCAATAGTGTAGTTCCAATGGTGTGCCGCCCCTGCAAGCAACAACATCACAACCTCTGACACATTCAGTTACGAAACAGATTCTAGAGAGGTTATTCTGATATACTTTTTGAAAGCATCAGATTTCCATCTACCCAAATGCCTAATCTTGTCGTCGGAAACCCCTTGTTCAGCCGCATAAGTAGCAGCACCAATCCTAAAGCTGTGTCCTTTATATCTATTGGGATCCAAGTTGCATAGTCGAATAACTGAGCCAAGCATTTTACTAAACTCGCTTCTTAAAACTGGGGACCCATCGTGATTAATAAAAAGTGGGCCATGTGCTATACCACGAACAGAAGCATAATCCAAGAATGATTGAACAGGACATGCTTTAGGTTGTCTATTCAAAACTATAGAAAAAGGATTTTGATTGTAATTATGTTTATAGCTTGAGAATGTAATTATCAAGGAAACCACATTGCCATTCCCACTATGTTTTTTAGAAACTTGATCCAGTTGTAAAAGGTTACCATTGACACTGTCTCGCTTTGACACTGTGATTTCACCAATACGAAGAAATGCAAAAAATGCCATAGCACACATGGCCTTGAACATAAATAAATCATATTGAGAAACACAAAAAATATCTAAACCTTTCATGATGCGAACTAAAATGGGAAGGGTAATAGGCAACCTTGAGTCCAGTTTGTGACCAATCTTACCATACCCTTTAAGCATCTCAATAATGTAAAAAGTTTTGGTAGGATCCCGTAGACCCGCCAAGCGATGGAAATACCCAAGGGCAGAAACATAAGTATTTACGGTGGAGGAAGCATATCTACGATCAAATAAATGTGCAACAAACAATGCCAATGTGGCCGGCAACACTGGTAATGAAATGTGTGAGCTCTGTAAAACACTTATTTGAAATTCTTCATAAAGCTTCCATGCCCTACGGTACGTTGGTACTGAAGACTTCTGTAAACTAGCAGATAGAAGATCATGAACTATAGATGCCAGTTTGCCGGGAGTAGATGAGATGGGATTGCTGTTGGCATGGGATCCATGTAAGCTGGTGCTAGTTTCTTGAAACGTTCGATCTGCAAACGAGACAGTGCATCCGCAAGAGTGTTCGTAAAACCCGAAATATGCTTGGCTTTAAACAAAATATTGTGCCTCAAACAAACTAGCACAAGTTTACGAACAAAAATCATTAAAGAAGTATCTCTACAGGTAGACTTATTTATCACATGTACTAATGCCTCATTATCAGTAAAGAATGTAATACACCTGTCCCTAATATGGTCCCCCCACAACATTAAACTCAGAACAATTGGGTAAAATTCCAGAATTGCAATATTCTGACCCAACCATTCCTTAGGCCATTCGCCATAGCACCAGTGAGAACCAAATACAGCTCCAAAACCGTGCGCCCCTGCCGCATCAGTAAATAACTGTAGGCTCAAGCTATTGTCCCATTTCTCATTAAGGAAAAATGATTTACCATTGTAATCTTGAAAAAACTGTTGCCAAGTAAACAAATCAGCCTTCACCTCCTTGGAAACACGAACAAAATGACCTGGTCTTTTGAGGCCAATTGTCAAGTCAATAAGCCGTCTTAAAAAGCAACGGCCTGGAACAACCACTGAACAAGCGAAATTTAGTACCCCGGTAAGCGACTGCAACTCTCTCAATGTTGCCTTCTTCTTTTTGATAAATTCAGCAATCAATTGTTTACATTTCAATAATTTTTCTTCGGGTAAGCGTGATTCACAACGGATAGTGTCTAGTTCCACACCTGCAAATGTCAAAATTGTAGATGGGCCAAATGTTTTTTCAGGTGCCATGGGAATGCCTAAAAAATCACATAATTCTAAGAAGAGTCTAAGACTTCTTGAACACTGACTTTCTGTTGTCTGAATGAGGAGAAAATCGTCTAGCAAATGAATAAGGTTAGCTATACCAAGCTTATCCTGTGCAATCCACTCAACAGCTGTACTAAAAGTTTCAAAGGTTTTACAGGAGCTGGAGCATCCCATAGGCATGCATTTATCATAATAATATTGACCACTCCACTTTATGCCTAAAAGATGATAATCTTGAGGATTAATGGGTAAAATCCTGAAAGCACTTTTAATATCGGTTTTAGCCAAATAAGAACCGACACCTGACTGTTTTATCTTTTTAATAGCATGGTCAATATTAGAATATTGAACACTGGAATGTTCATGGGATATTCCATCATTTACTGATTTACCCATGGGATATGAAAGATGATGAATCAGACGAAATTCCCCTGGGGTTTTCTTTGGAACAATACCCAGGGGTGACACTCTGAAAACAGGAAAGGGTGGTGAATCAAATGGTCCAGCCAACCTATGGGCTTCCAGCTCCTTAGCTAATTTTTGGTCAACTACTTGGGGCTGTTGTCGTGCAGATAACAAATTAGCAGATTCATAAGATCTACTTTGACCAACAGAAAAGAGATGAAATCCATACTTAAATCCATCAATTAAAAACATTCGCTTTTGAAAGTTGTACCCTTCTAGCAAAAACTCAAGTCGGTTTACCTTTACTGGTGTTGGGAGCAGTAGGATTGGCAGCAACAGGTCTTCCAGTGAAGTTACGAAAATTATGGCAATTAATCATTTGATGAGTCTTTTGACATAATGGGCATGAATGCTTGAAATTACATCCAACACATTTTAAGCCTTTATGGTACTTCCAGCAATAACCTTTGGGAACTCGAAAACCTGACTTTGATTCACCCTCAAATCTCTTTATCTGTGAATAATTATTTCTGGATGGCTGCGATCTAATCCACAACTCCCAATGCACTGCACCCCAAGAATATGCTTTGGGGTCCTTTTGTCGGAGATATCGAAAGTTCTCGTCATAATATCGCCAGTTATATCCTCTTGCTGCCAAATCCCTAATAATTTCACTATACTTCATTAAAAAGGGGGCTTCAACAGGATATCTCTGTGTGTAGACACCCACAAAGATTTGGTAGGCTGTGACCCACATTTCAATTGAATTGATATGTTTTGACTTTTGCTTTGGCTCCAATACGATGCGTGGCTGGTCATTTGATGATGCCATGTCATTTGAAAGGCATAGATGGAAACTGTCATGGTCTTTCTTATTATTTAAGAGCATTCCAAAATCGACATATTCATGGGCCCATATTTTTCTTTTTAGCCTATCAGAGACTGACATGTCAATGGGGATGTCAGATGACACAAAAATATCTTTTGGCTTAGACATTAAACTGGTGCCTCCTGACAAGCTATCCAACACAGTCGCAATCGACCCCTGTACAGTTGCGGCTGCTGTGCTAGCCTGATCTGAGCTATTTAAAATTTCAGAAGTATTAACCTGAGAACCACTTAACTCATTGATGACTGGTTCAGCGACAACTGACCCCTGTAAAGCTGAGGCTGTTCCAGGCAATGAAATATTTCCAGTACCTGTATTATCATTGAATTGTGTATTTTGTAATTTTTGTAATACTGCATTTGTCACCCTCTCAATCAAGTTGTCAACGCCAGCATACGGAAGACTTGCTGGGCCTGGAAGCTGATCTGCTTGTTCTCCATTCTCCTCAACCCGTCTACGGCGACTAGCTGGCTGTTGCTCGGACTCTTGCAAGATAGTAGTTTTTCTCTTCACTCTAGCTGATACCCGGCGAGACATCCTGAAACGTAAAATAACTCAACACCAGTATACATGTAAGCTAGTAACATATAGCAAGCTTTTCCATTGCTGATGAGGTCATTATGCCCAAAAAGAACCAATCCAGATTATAAATTTCAGCAAATGCCCAATGATACACGTAAAGTGAATGCCCATAGGTATGATATGAATAAAAAACAACATGCATCAACAACATTAATCAAGGAGTCTAATTATTAAATTTGCTCCATCTAAATGACTGAAGAAGATCTCAACATGATCAAGAACAACAACTTCGAGATAAACATGGCCTAACCGCCAATTTCACATATATCTGAAATATATAACATGCCTGTTTTTATAGTACCATAAAGGAAAACCTTCCAACAGCCTTTGGTTGGAAAAAATTATATAGTACCAAACATCTAGCTTGGACAAAAAACCATACACTTCACAGTACAAACCCAAAATTAAACAATGTAACAGGACATCACAACATGAACTTATACGTGAACTATGGCCGGGATGGCTTGGCAAACTACACATGTCGCCGGAACATATAAAATGCCTGTCCCTATAAATGCCATAAAAACATTCCAACAACCTCTGGTTGGACAAAAGCAAAAAGACCAAACCTGTAGCTTGGTCAAAAAACATGCATCACATTATACAAAAACAGGACTTCACAACATGAACATGTACATGAACTATGGCAGGGATGGCTTGGCAGACTACACATGTCGCCGAAACACATAAAAATGCCTTTCCCTATAATGCCACAAAAACCTTCCAACAACCTCTGGTTGGACAAAAACAGAAAGACCAAAACCATACGTTGGTCACAAATCCATGCCGAAGCATGTCACAAAAACATAATTAAACAAGAACATTCCAACAACCTCTGGTTGGACAGAAGTGAAAAGACCAACAACGTTGATTGGTCAAAAATCCATGCACAGCATGGCTCAAACACATAATTAAATGACAAAACAGGACATAACAACATGAACATACACCTAACAAGAATGGATGTTTTTGTAACAACATACGTCAGCTTGTAATTTATGACTGAAAATACAATCATAGTTTTATTCACATCGAAATGACCATAAGCTCACATTCGATTTGGGTTTTCAGCTAAAATTAATAATTGCTTTTATATCGATTTGGATAATATCGATATTACCAACAACATAAACCCTACAAAATGAAGCGGAGGATTGGCAACACAATGTATTTGCCCCGAGCATTATTCACTCAAACTTATTCAAAATGTTCACAGCCTTTAAAATTGCACCTCGGTAACTTCTGTAAAGTAAATACTGGCCACGAGGATTTAAGTGAACTCCGTCCTCCAACAGGAAATCATGGCTTGGAGAGTCCAAAATCTTATGTCGCCATACAAACACTCTAGGGCGGTCGATGACGACACGTAAATAACGATTTAACACTTCTACCTTCGTATTAAACATTGGCTCAGCTCGCTTAATCACCAGACAAACTCCAACTACCCTAACAGAAAAATGGTTCAACAACAACTCGACTAATTCGTCAATCTGAGAACCAACCGTTTCTGGTGGTTCATTACAAAGGTCATTGGTACCTATTTCTAATATTACAACATCTGGTGCAAAGCGGGAGACATTCGCTACGTCAAATTGCTTAATTTTCTTAACCGTCCTTCCGCCAATACCAAATAAACGGACCTTAACACCTTCGAGGTCGAAGTTGCTTTTGGCACGATCGTCAAAATGATTCTCCAAGTCACCACTGAGGCGTCGAACGAAAGAATGACCAAGTATCATTACTTTCGGGACACACAAAGCCATTTTGGACTGAAAGAAATAATTAATTGAAAGGTCAGATCGCTCGTATGTACAAAAACCGAAACGATGCGGCACCAGCCAGAAATGTTGTTGAAAATGGTTAAAAGTCATTAAAAGCCAATTGGAAGGTGAAAATGAGTTGCAAATTACGGCCATCGATGCGAATAAACTATGAACCAGACAAACTGAACAGCTAAATTATCACAATAAAGAGAGAGAAAACTCACCTGTTCTGACACTGAGGAAAAATTTTTGTGTGTAGCCGCCATCTATGATTTTATGACAGTGGAAGATTGGGGAGAGTAGAAGTAGTAACCCTTACGGTAGGTGCGAGGACGCCACATTTCCTCCTCTCTTCGGGAAGTTTCATCATGGCGCTTTCGCGAGCAAATTGCGCGCTCAAAGAAAACGCCTGCACTGCAGGCCACACCAAAGGTAAGTTGTTTATACCACAGGTGGCCCAAGCGTAATATGAGAGTTTGTATGGGAAGTAACGAGTTTTGGTCAAATGATGTAAAAGTACTCAAATCGCGCTGAAACTTCGTAAAAACAAACACAACGACACGAGGTAACACTATTTACTCTTTATTAATAACTTTTATCGCTTTTAGTTCATTTATTTTATCTAAGTTTCAACCTCTTTATTTCCCATAGAAACTCTCATATTACGCTTGGGCCACCTGTGGTTTATACGTTTTTTATCAGTGCGTTCCGCTCATATTTAATTTTTCTCAACCTTCAGGCATATTTCTCGCTTAGAAACAGCACACTTGCCTCCAGAAAGTATTCTAATCGCCTAAAAATTCATGCGAAGAATATTTTGTTGAGCGAAAACAAATCAAGTCGACAACTGCCGCGTACTCCAAATTCCAAATGTTTGGCGACTAAACATGTCACGTTTGCACCCACCCAAATTTTTCCTACCTACAAACCTTGATGAAAGTTAATCTTTAATCGCGTAAAAGGCCTTGGTACTAATCTAGCACGTGGGACCCCACGTGGTTGAATTTACCAAACACCGCTGAACACAACGGCGCATCGGTAATGCAGCTCATGGAATCTTCATGGAATCTCTTGTTTTGATATTTTTTTCAGTTCAGGGCTAAATATTTTTCTTATAATGCAAGCCGCAGAGAAGTTAGGAATTGTGTATATCGGAAAGGCCGGTGGCAAGGTAATCTTCTGTTTATTTTAATTGACTTCGTAATCCTATCTTGGCATCTTAATACAGCGCTCGGCTGGTTCTGAGGAACGCTATCCCGTTTTTTGCGAGGACGTCTCCCGCGCTAGTACGCTGGAGTAAGGGTGGTCTCCGAACTTTATAGCACAACATGCTTTAAAATAAAATAATAGTAAAAAACGCTTTCTAGTCTTCGAAGGTTTGATTTCGTCTAAGTAACTAAACTTAGTTAGCGAATGCATTGCGCGTATCATGTAGTTTCTTGTGCCTAAGATTTTGACTTTGAAGGTTAAGCTTATAATCAAGTTGATCTGCATACATCTACATTGTATCTTAGCATAAGCCAAGAGGCCGCGCGAACTGGTTTTGAGATGTTTGATAATAACACGATAACTCTAAAATATCGCATGTATTGGCGAGTCCGTTGGGCTTATTAAACTTTAGTACAGTATAAAACTTGCGTTTATAAATGGTCTAACTTTAAGCTTATACTATGAATGATTAAAATTAAGCTGATATGTCTTAATTCAAAAACCACATGAGGGGTTTTCAGGACTAATTTAGTATTTGCATACCCTGGGAGCAGGGAAAAAATACAAAATTATGTCCTTTTTCTAGGAAGATCAAGGGCCTCTGCTCCTAGGATAGAGACATTTAACTGATGTGTTTACATGTGTAAACTGAGTAGGTTATGTTTGAGTGGATTTACAGCTTTGCAGGAACCACCCTGCTAGCAAAGCCTTTCTTCCACTCGCTCAGTTTTAGTGTACTCATGAAAGACTCTGCATGAATCAAGTTTTGAACCCAGGCCTAATAGGCATGGCTTGGTACAGTGGGCTCAGTTATGATCATCTATTTATCAATAAATAGATGCTCATGTTTGAAAAACCAGTTTGACCAGAAAAACAAACACTGAATTGTCAAGAAGTTTGGTGACTTCAAAACTTTGACACAATTCAGGCAGAGCTTCCTTTTCTCCTCCTCAATTGAGAAGAAGACAAAAGAAGTCTCTGCTCACAAGGATTTCGGGAACGTGTAAATCTTGTGAGCTTAGATGCGTTGATAATGTAATCATGTGTAGACCACGTAATCAATGAAAATGCATGACAGTGATGGTAGCTCACACTGGCTCAGTACAGTAAACTGCAGCTGTATCCTATGATAATTTATTATCAGTGTTAGGATCATTGTTTCCACACAGTTTAACCCTTTAAGCCTCAAGATCCACATACAAATTCTCCAGACTGATCTTCATACATTTCTTTATAGATTAGAGGAGAGAGTTTGATAACAGATCAAAGCATTTTCTCTTTGGTGATCATTTTGTTAATTCTTTTAACCACTTCTCTTGGCAATGTATGGGTATTGTTAGGAGAAAATTGATGTTGGTCACCGTTGGGTGTTAAAGGGTTAACTTACTAGGGTTTTAGTGAACGACCTGATTTATGGCACAGTCTACTTCAAGCATGCCTTTTCTCGGTGTAATAGGCTGCTCTAGGTGTATGTGGGGTCTGACATTTAATTTATAAAAGTCCTTAATATGATTTATAGAATACTGAAATAACCATTAACTCCTTCCAAGATTTTAGCCAAAAGGGTGTCCAGCCATACTATGGATGTCCATTTTTGGAAGAAATACAGGGAAAATTCACTTAGTCTCTTATAATTTAATGGGAAAACATGCCTTCTGGACAGCCAGTTTTCAATGTCTGGCTAAAAGCCAAACTCCTTCAATGTAGATGTGTACAATATCCTGGAAAGACACTAGCTGTTTTTTTTTTTGCAAAATGTATTTGTCGAACAGGCTGCTATAAATCATTGGAATTAAAACACGTATAATATATTCATTCATTGCAATCACATACTTTTCACAATGAATTAAAATAGCATATTATTTGCAACTTTAGAGATGTTGTTGTGGCTCATTATTAATAAATTGTTTCGAAGGTACCACATCAAACTTTTCTGTAATTCATTTTGCAGCACAAGTTTTCTCTGCTAGATGAAAAAGACATCCATCTTGTGAAAAGATTTAGATTTGAGGTTAGTCCTGGATAAAAATTTGTACTGCACTGTGTTATTGGTGACCTAAGCATGAATTGCTGTATAAAATGTAGTTAGTACACTGTGTCTTATTCAAATAGTGCTTCTGTTGCTTGGAAATTGTACTTGAACCGTAGCTTAGTGCCCCTAGGTCCCACATGTCTCCTGCAGCTTTGTAGTAGTAGAGCTTCTAGACTGGTATCCAGAATGTCATAGGTTCCACTCCTGTTGGGAATACACATACTTGGATTTTTCAGTCTTCTTAGCATATTGTGTCACTGACTGAAAAAACATCTTCTTCATGAAACAAAGTTGTTGTACAGGGCTCCACTGCATCAGTGGTGTAGTATGACATGAACAGTTTTCTTGCAACTGGGCAAGTAACCTGACCATCTAAATCCTTTCACTTATGGCAAGATTATCTGTCACTCGCCCTGACTTTTAAATCTGTGGGTGAAATCCTGTGGTGTTACCATTCAAGTGAAACCACTTTGGCAGAACCTTTACATGGTACTAATTATTTCTAAGGATTTTACAAAAAGAAAATTAGAATTTTTGGGGGATATTTTTCTTGGCTACTATTTGGAGTGAGAGGGTTTAACATCATCACAAGGTGGAAGGTGGCTAGGTAGTTGGAGGATAAGGGGGATGCATTTCTTCAGTTGGCCTTTACAGTGCGTTACTGCTTCATTGGTTTTGGGTTTTGACCTCTCTGTCTTTAACAGGTTCAATTATTTTATGTGTCTCTTATACTATTCAGGGTCTAACTTTTTGTAACGAAGCAGACATACAGTTGGTGTATGATGTTGCTAATTGTCTAAATTTGGATCTTCCCCTTTCCCAAATGTACATTTTAAGTGTTACTTCATGTTATTTTGAGGGATTTTAATCCTTGAAGGACACTAGGTGTTATGTCTATCAGCAGTGGCCAGAAAATTTGGTTGTCAATTAGCTAAGACAAATACTTTAAAATTTGATACGCTGACTTGAAACTACAGTATTTCAAATTTTTATCTATAAGCTTAGTTAGCCTTGGCCAAGCTAAGAGCTGTTTTGTTTTTTGTCAAATCCTCCTAAATGTGATGATTGTATTAAATGACTGAGCTGACTCTTTTGATATCATCAGGCTAAAGTTGATGTCAACAAAGATGGTAATGGAGCTAATATTTTTGCTTATGCATTTGACCTCTCGCGAGAAGAGACAAGTGGACATTACTTCCATGAATATATTTGGTAAGTCATTTTACCTTTAGTTATTTCCATTAAAGAGGGTGTATAACTTCTCAATTTTTCATGAATAATGATATTGTCAGCAGTGACAAGAATACCACTCATGAATTACAGTGCGACTACTGTAACCGGGGCCACTTAGATCACTTTGACCAATCAGATTACAGGAAAATAACAGTGCATTCCAGGAAAGTTAGTTATAGACCAATCAGCAGCTTGTAAAGGAACAAGAAGTTACTAGGAGCACAAAATTTGTCATTGAATATTGATAGCAAACATTTTTCAAGAAAGCAAAATGTCACCCAACAATGTTTGTGTTAAAATCTGTTTAAACCCATCAACAATAGATGGGTGTGGGGAAGGTGCCTGAAGAAGTGGAAGGGGGCCGCAAGCGATCTTAGAAGGTAACCATGACAACCATGAGAGCAGCACCCACCAGGCACCGTCACACTGAGAACCTCAGTGGAAAGAGGCGCAGATACTTACCAAAACAGCATCCAGAGAGGAGGGAGGATTGGGGGCAAAAAACAACTGTAACTACTGCACGCAAAAGCAACGTGAGCAAAATGATTCACTCCTGCGAAAGCACTGTAAAATCACTAAGACCCTGCTAAACCCAGTAAAAATTTCACCAGGTTTACGTAAACTTCATTAAGACGTTTGGGCCAAACATAGGAAAATTGTGCTTTTTACAAGTAATATTAAACTTGAAAATAAATTTGTAAAAGGTGAAGCAAGAGTGCCTGGCCGGGCGACCAGGAATTTTTTTTCAGTCGCCCAAAGCTAAATGTTAGTCGCCTCAGGCGACCGGGGCCATTAGAGCACAGCCTTGAAAGGGCAAAAATGTCATACATGCATGACATCCTGTGCAGGGCTGTCAAAAAGTTTTTAAGTAGCAGGCCAATAATGAATAGTAGGCGGCTCTGGAACTTGCACTAAAGGCACAAGTTCTTGAGGGCCCCGGCACCTAGGGATATTTTGAGAATTAGAGCATCGAAAATGGTGTTTCCAGAGGTTTTCAAGTGGTATTCCACTGCGGATGCCAGGTTGTGTCATCAGAATACACGCAAGACTCGGAACAATGCCGTTGAAATGTCCCAGGCTTTCAAAGACATTGCACAGTTCGAACGTTTTACATATCTAAACCTGTTAGAATATGTGTTCAATGTCATTCAAATCTGAGAAACAGATGCTTTATTATTTTATTCGATAGTGCTTATTTTTTGTCAGCAGTTATGGTAGAAGGAGATGAAAGTAGCCGGCTAAAGAGGGTTGACTAGCCAGCGATTTTGGCCGACTATCGGCCCTTATTGACAGCCCTCCTGTTGCAACCTTTTGTTGATGCTTCCAACCCACAATGTACATGTATTATGCCCGGAGCCCATAACGTGACACATGCAACTCCCATACTTACGCTGTAGCCTATGGTACATGACACGGCATGGTGTTTTCACAGATCAGTATTTTTTCAGTGTCGTTTATTTATCATTTTTAACTCGTGGGTACGCGCGAGCGTACCACGAGTTATTGCAGGGACAGGAATATGCAAATGAGTCACTCGCTCACTCGTAGTAGACGAATTTGTAATAAATCGGGTCCGAACTCGAGAGTGCGAAGATCTATCGTTTCCAAAGAAGCACGCGCTCGCCGAAGTTCGGTGACATCAAATTCCTCGCTGAGAGCGTGCATCGTGCGCTACCGCACGGTAAGAGGATAGAGGTCTTACCAAGTTTAAGACACGCAGGAATCTTTCAGATTAGTACGATTCAAGAGCCTTTGACTCGTCCAGGCGTTAAACTTGACGAGAAGATGAGCATTTGCTCTTGGACTCCTTCAACTTCGACGCTGGCTTGATCTCCTACCTTGTAGTAATGTAGTAGGTTACATGTATGAATGAATGTATGGTAAATAAAGGCACTTCTTCTTCTTCTTCTTTATAAGGACTCCCCAAGATCACCGGGGGAAATGGATGTGATTTTGAGCATGAGCTTTAAAATAACAGCGGAAATCGAGATAAGAAAACATAAGCTTATGTTTTGCGTCCTACTTCGCGGAGGAGTTGTGTCAGCTTTGTATTGCATATGTTCTTTCATTTTGCCATGAAATGTGTTTACATTGTTTTTTTACTGTCAGTAGCCTGGTTTCAATTAGCCTTAATTTCATCCGATTGCTTTGAGTCGTTTTTTCAATCGGTTAAGTATGGCTCGATCGTTTGCCGGCGGAAGTTCCATGGAAAAGGCATTAAATATGAGACTTTTCACAAGTTCTTGTGATCATCCTTAATGGCGTAGTGGCTATGTGAGGTCGGGTCAACTCGAAGGTACCGGGTTCAAATTCTGCTAAGGACCTTCTTTTTCCCATCTTCCTTTTTTTTTCCTTTTTGTTTTGTTTTGTTTGCTTATTTGTTTTGCTGTTTTTTTTTGTTTTTTTTTTTTTTAAATATATACCTAAATAACTGTCAATAAAGTGCAATAAACAGCAAGAAAAGTATTGTGTTTCCAGAACAAGGATAGTATATTTATAATCTGAATTTCTATCATTTCCTAAAATTTACTGTGGGAAAACCAGAGGTGATATCTAATTGATTATTTTCTAAACAACGTACCCACGAGTTGACGATAGTCTTTCTTTGATTTATTGGTGTTATTTATTCACACACTTTTTCACAAAAATATGGGATGGTTTTGTCCGCCTGTTGGAAAAGCTAATCAGGGTACATGGGTGGAGATTTCTGGGTTACAGCAGTCATTAGTGAAGAATATTATACTTACTCATCTTTTTTATACAAACAATGGAATTTTTGACCTGGCAATAACGAAAAGGGAAGCACTGCTTTATTTTATCATATGAAGTATAATTATGAAAAAAAGAAAGAAAATGCCCTTTAAGAACCAGAATTACTATTTTGTGATCTTGAGTTATTGCTGATCGGAATTTGTGGGAAAATAGATCTAAAAATGACTTTGTGTTAGCCTGTGTTAGTGCATTATGTAGGTCACTATAAAACATTATAAACCTTTTGAAGTATACAGATGAAATCATGGCATGCAAAGCCAACTACTCACAGAAATCACTGTGGTAGTTCTCTTTAGCGGCTGTCAAAGTAATTTTAATGTTGAGGTTAACGTCCCTGCAATGGACTGTCTTCCCATAAAGGGGAAATCCTGGGGGATGGATACTTAACAGAGTTTTGCAGGAGAGGCTCCAGTATGTTGAGCCACTTGGTTTGAATTTAGATTTTACCTTTTTAACTTTCGAAAATGTTACCTTTAATTATTCTAGATATTGATTATTTTTAAGTGACTAAACCAATGTGTTGTTCCGTTTGTCAGGGAAAGACATTGTGGTGGAGTAGCTCCTGGTTTTAGAGTTTGTCACAAGAATGGTGTTACAGTGGGTAAGTATAAAAAACATACAAAAATTACCTTGTGAGAATTAATTACTTAATTTTTTTCACACATAGAGTTACTGTAGGTTTTCGAGAAAATAACATACTCCATACAAAAACAACAACAACAACAACAACAACAACAACTGTACAACAACATTTATAAATTTACATGTTTTGATAGCCATAGACATGGACATAGTTTATTTTGCCACAAGGAGGACAGGAGTTACTACTTGTTAAAATGCTCTTGTGAAAAAATACAAAAGAAATAATTATGTTGTTAAAAGGAATAATTTAAAATATTTACAAACTGTCAGAATTATTTTTTACACATAAAAAATTTCAATTATTATTCATTGTGTAAAAGGATCTAAAAATAATTATATAAAATACATTAGTAACAATTAAAAATTATTGACACAATTAAGGGTGTAGCAAAGTGGCCATAATGCATGATAAAAAATAAAAAGTTGATTCTAAAAATAAAGCAAAATATCTAAAGATAATTATTTTAAGAGCACATTTTGCCTCTGTCAATTCATTCAACTCTGGTTGTTTCTTTGAAATATATATATTTTTCTGAAACGATGGACATACCCATTGTCTGCCACTGGGGGCATTTTGAGGGTGATGTCTGTGTTTTGGTATCTATCCTAATCAACAGGTTGCTATTAACATGCATGGCATGTGGTATACACTTTATGTACCCAACTTCGTTTGGACTTTAATACACGTAGTACATGTCCTTTTTTTTACATGTTATTTTTCAGATAACCGATTGAATAATTTGTGTATAGTGCCTTCTGCAAATGAAAATTCCAATGTACAGTTAAAGTGTTCTGAAAGGTTTGATCTTTGTTTATTTTATTATCTTCTGTATTTCATCTCCTCTTGGATTGGTTGACAGTGCTAGTGCCATGGGTCTAGTCAGCATCAAATAACATACAAGGGTTTTTTTTCCTTCCAGAAATAACAACTGTGGAAGTGAACCAAGAGAAGACCAAAGGCTTTATTGGATGGCTGTGTCCAGATTGCCACCATTTGATGCAGAACATGAGGTATTTCTTACAACATTTTTTAAACGGTTTTCCCATGGGCATTTAAAGTGTTTCCAGCTTACCATCGGATTTATTATCTTCCCCAGCCCTCCCCCAATGAAACCTGATTCTGGGCACTGATGGGGAAAATAGCTAAGAAAAAAAAGAGGGGTGACAAAATAATTTGTCATGTGGCTAAATGTAATTTAGGCAAGGTTAAACACGAGACAATGCTGCTGGCCACAGGTCTCCACCACTAATCGTATTTTGGGCAGTCTTGGTCTTATATTATTCGCAGGGCTTTAGTAATTTTACAGCACTTTCACAGAAGTCAATCATTTTTCTTGCGTTGCCTTCGTGTGCAGTAGCTTTATCCTTTTTGGTTGTATGTCTTAGTTGGTAAGTATTTGCACATTTCTCCACTGAGGTTCTCAGTGTGATGTTGCCTGATTGGTGCCACTCATAAGGTTGTCATGGTTACCTTCTTGGCTTGCTTGTGGCTCCCCTCAGTTTCACCAGGCACCTTCCTTACAGTGACCCATCAATAAATTTTTTATTGTTGATGGGTTTAAACTAGTATGATGCAGACCCACAGCATGCACTTTCTCTGGTAGAGTTTTTCAAGTTATTCTTGTTTGCTGTAGAAAAAAGTTTAGTACTACAGAGTGAGTTTGTTTGCAGATATGCTAAATGAGCCAATTTTGAACAAAGAAAAAAAGACAGCAAGCTTGACTTTTAATTTTTTTGGCTTCTTTCTTCTAAAACTATCTGTTCCTTTTTTCTTTGCTTCCTCATTTTTTCCCTTTTTTCTGGACTTAAGTAACAGTTTGTTCTTGTAGGTAATTTTAGCAAATGTTACGATCCTAATGTCTCTTTTTTGCCACTAAGTGAAAGCCCTTCACCTGATGTTGTATTGTTTTTTTGTGTGTGTGTTTTATTTGAACAGAATTACATGAGCTTAAACTACAAATATTATAATGCAAATGGAGAGCAAGTAACAGAAGAAGGTGGGGGAGGAGCCTTTTGCTACTAATTTAGAAGTTTTTGTAAAATCCAGTGGTATATATTCCAACATTATAATATTCTGGTCAATCTTGTGATTCTGATGACTGGTTTCCATAATTTTATTATTGCTAAGATTGCTGGAAAAAAGTTATGTGATCACAGTAATTTTGTGAAAAACATTTCTTTGTGTCAAAGAAAACATGCTTAGATGACTGATCAGAAGTCTTGGAAACTAGATATCATTTACTTACATGTAAAAAATTGTCATAATCCTTTATGTTTGTCATTTTATTCTCCCCTTTTCAGATGATTCACTGTCATTTTATGAATGTCATTATCCACCATGTTGCAAAATTGAAACTGAGGTAACTATAGTGAAGCTCCATTTTAGTCAGTCATACTGTCTCTCTGAACATACATGATTATAATTATGTACTCATCTTTAGTCAGGACACATGAGTTCATGGCACACACTTATTCATGAAGCCCAGGCTAGATTGTGATTTACCTTGATAAGCACCTGCACACATTCATTGTCTTCTTGTTAGAGGGTCCTCTATTCCCCTGTGCAAAATCCTTCAACAAAATGTGTGTAATAATATTGACACTTTTCATGTGTCACAAATAATTCCCTACAATTTGTTCAGGTTCACACAGAAATCAGGTACCAGTAGTTCGCGTTTCACAGAAAATTGAATAATAAATTCACAGGTTAGTGTTTCCTGTTGATTAACCCTTTCACTGGCAGAGTGCTTGATGGAGTTTTGTAAGGTGACTCTAACTTTTGAGTCTGCAGACAAGTTCAAGTTCATTTATTCACACTTATTCAATTACAATACAAACACGCGTTTAACTCTCCACCCACTATCTTGGTCGCACATGATCCAGTAAAAACAAAATAAGGCAAGTTTACATACCACAAATTGTCTGCCTGCCAAAGAAAAAGTTAATTTACATGTCTCACAAAAAATGTAGCCCCAATGATGCTCAACAATAAAAGTATGGGGGACCATGTTGTTTATATATGAATTCTTGATGGTATTTGTTTGTAGCTTCGGGAGTTCAGCATTTGTGGACAATGTCAACAGGTGCGATACTGTGGTCCCCTTTGCCAAGAGGTGAGTGAAAAAAAAAGAAAAATAAACCTATTTTATTGTAAGCTTTAATGTATTCCCACAGGAAGTCACTTTTACACCAGCTCAGAGCCCTGCAGAACAAAATGTTCTGCAGAATTTTATTTTTTGCCAGCCAAAATTCTTAAAACTGTTGGAATTATCTTAGTTAGTGAGAGGATATAATAAAAATTGATGGTATTGGCAATCACATACATGTAACAAAAATAAAAATTACTTTGTGAAGTAACGTTTGTCCTATGTTGTTTCCTTTTTTCAATTTTACTTCTAACTTAGATGCCATTTATGTTCTCTGATAATTTATCTAGTATGTTGTAGTATAACCTATTTTGTGTAAAAGGAGTCAATCTGACTTCAAAGGGAAGGAGGAAGAGAAATTTGTGAATGTAGCTGTTGGCCATGATAATTTAAAACAAAAAGGATGATAATTTTGGCAAAATTGACTTTAAATGTGCACATTGTGCAAAGTTGAGGGGACTATGATAATTAAAAAAAATTCCAGAAAATTTAAATCATTACATCCTTTCATCGTTAGTTTCTCTCTCCATCTTTTGAAAAAATTTCATCCTGTAAAAAACTGTGTTACTGACACTCAAACAGTTTTTACTGAATACATTCATAACGTTATTTGTGGGACCCTTTACATTAATTTTGTACAGTTGTGTTGCAGAGAATAAGGAATTTTACTTGAGCACAGTGTTAGCAACATAATATAGTTGCCCTGTTCTGTCACATTATTATTTTGTTTTAATGAATAATAACAAGAGACTATAAAGGGGACAGAGAGGCCATCCCCCATATACACCCTATTCCATAGGTAATTCGTCTCGAGTTATTTTTAGAATTGGGATTAAGTTACCTCGCGCGAGGCGTGGATGTTTCGTGGAGGTTTCGCATGACCAAACGCCGTGCAAAACATGTCGGGCAAGAGGCAATGAAAGCATAAAAAGATCGAGAGCATTCCTGAATATTGAAGCGAAATGAGTCGGCGCTCACCTGGGAAAAAGGAATCGCTGGACTCTTTGACAACCCGTGAAATCAGTTTAACTCGAAGTTGTCGTAACCTCAGTGCTTTAATAAAATGAGAAATTTCGCCGGTCTATTGAAACCGGTCGTTTGTACAATTTAGGGAGTTTAAGATCCAACGACGCGGACGACAACTAGAACGTCAAAAAAACAATAGGTTTAATTAGCAAAACAACAACTTCGCACGTGCAACACACTTTTTTGTTCATTTCTTTCCCGTTTTTGCACGACTACGACGTGAAAATGCCTAATTTCGCGTTTTATGGAGGACGTAAATAAGCAACGACGAAATTTTATTTCTCTTTCTGAGCTTGAATATGGTCCCTTGAAATTCAGCTTTAGGAGGGTTCGCCTACAATTGACAAAGTAAGTGGGCAGGAATAATCGCTATAAAGACTGAAAAAAAAATAAACATCAAACCAGAAATTGCTCTCTTCAAACTGTAAATTATAAATGATCCTGAGAGAATATTCAGTGTGTTAAGGATTTCCCTGCTCTACTGTTAGCTCTATACAAGAGAGGAAGGGCGATTCTTTTTTAATTTCGGTTTCGCTGACACAGCTTTCGCAGAAATCTCGCTGTAGTCGTTTTCGTCGACAAAAGGAATAGCAAAATCGCTCTCCACGTCTTCCCCCATTTTGTTCCGCGTCAATTCGTGGAGGACGCGTGGCTCTAGAGTGGGTCGTCCACGCGGAATACATTCACGCTATGTGATTGGCTGTTGTCCAATCCCCCTTGGGTTCTGTGATTCTAAAAATAACTCGAGACGAATTACCTATGGAATAGGGTGTATATGGGGGATGGCCTCTCTGTCCCCTTTATAGTCTCTTGATAATAATTATTCATGTATTCATAAATAATAATAATAAATTATTATTTTAGCCCAATGGCTTATTTAACCTGGTTTTCCCAATTACATTTTTCAGAGAGATTGGCCATTGCATAAGAAGTACTGCAAAGAAAAAGCAAAACAACGGATTAGTTATGAGCTTACTCCAGAACGTTAGGCATCAAAAACCTTACCCTGCGAGCAGAGGCTACATTTTCGCTTTGTCAGCTGTTGTGGGAAAAGTAGCCTTTTCTGACAACCATTCAATTTTCTATCATGCATGCGTGAAATTTGTCACACGATTCGCAAGCAAAATTAATCGTCAGGTCTGTCGTCAATTGGCGCGAGTTTCGTGGGAATACAAAAATTGCGACAAGAACTCTGATCTGCTACACAAGACAAACGCAAGACTCACGCAATGCTCTAAACTGGTCAAGAACAGGAAAAAACCTGTTTGTTTAATATATTCGTCCAGATTTTTGGACAGATTTGAACGGTTGTCAGCAGAGGCTACTTTTCGCATGCCAGCTCACACAGCGAAAATGTAGCCTCTGCTCACAGGGTACAAAAACCTACAACCATTATGTGATAATAAAATAATTATTCTTGTACAGAAGAGAGTGAAAAAACTGTTATATTTAGGACATAATTATTGTTATTATAGTCACATTTTAGATTTTTCAGACTTGTTCCCTTAGTTACTGGTATTTCTTTCATAACTGAAAAAGTACATGACTTTATTAATGGCCTTGAAAAAGTAGGGTTTTTTGTAAATTAAATAGATAGAGTTTCCTCTTGGTTGTATATTAAGATTTATTTAAAGTAACTGTTTATTTACAAGTTTTATTATTTTTTTCTGACCACATTCATGTTACAGAATTGCCATGACCTGTATTCTTAAAATAACCAAGGGTGGATTTAGGGTTGGGGCCCTGGCCCCCCAACCCCCTTTATAGCACATTACATGTTAAATATGGAATCCAGGCATTTGCTAAATTTAACAGTCCAGAATGCACGAGATTGCGTCTCACTCAGAGAATTTCAATCTCAAAAATCTTCCTGGAGGAGCATGTCCCTGAAACTCCCAAGAAAAGTGCGCCGTCCGCAGTCCTGATGGGCACTATTGCGCCCATATTGTGACTGTATACTATATCTCTAGGCCCCTTCTATCACAACATCCTCCATCTGCCCCTGATAACACTGGTCTACTGGTTGTCAGGAAATGTATCTTCCAGATTTTGCAGTGGATACATACATGTTTGTAACCAATTTGAAACAGAAGAAACCATGATCAAGGCTTCATTGTAACAAACTGTTTATTTTTGCCTGTGAGTAACCTCCCCTTTCATGCATATTAATAATATTATAAAAGTTATGCTGGATGTGCTGTCAAATAGTGATAAAAAATGAGAACATGCAAATTTAAGAAGTGATAACTTGTTGTAATATTGTACCTGATTAAAACACGGCTGAATTTGCATTAATTTCATTTTTCTTGGACTTTGAAATCCTAAACTGACAGAGCGGCTGGTTTAAAATTAGTAGTCACCAGCATATGCACAAGTGTGAGCATAAAGGTTTGATAATTCCACTGTTGCAAAGTATTGTTCTAAATTTAAAATATGTGCATATGCACATATTTTTATCCACATACGATACGCAGTCACATAAAAATTACAGGACAGTGGAAATCCACCCTATTTTACACACAAGGGACCAACACGTAAACTAGTAAAAAGTTGAAACCTTGAACTCTCATATCTTTGCTTTGTCCAATGCTGGTGAATAGTCATTTTTGCAAAAGTACCATATTTGGGATGAGAAGAAAAGATACCAGTAACTCATTAACCAAACTTGGTGAAGGACTTGAAGCAATTTTACTCCACATTCAAGACACTCCAAAAATGGGAGCTTATGCAACAACGACAGTGACGGCTACAAAAACGTCACTTAAAAAGCGAATTCTCACTGCTTCAAACTTTAACGCGCTCACTATCTCGTTCAGTGCGTCAAATTTCAGCAAGTTATTTTTTCTTGGGTTGAATTCTTAAGAGTGTACCAAAGTTCAGGAAAAGAAAAAAAAAGTTGTTTTCTTGTGTTGTTTCCCCCTCCACAAAATGTGGAATTAGGCACTTTCACATCGTAGTTGTGCACTGATGGCAAAGAAATGTACAAAAAAGTGTAATGCACATGTAAGTTGTTGATAAACCTGCTTTTTTGAAGCTGCAGCAAGGGTTTCCAAAATCGTACTTAGAAAAATGAATATTCACAAGCATTGAAATTATATGCCTTCAACCCAATATGAGTTTCTGATTGTACTTTTGCTGCCTTGCATTATCCTGGATAAAATGTGTAGTCCAACCATTCAAGTCACAAACAGAACATTTTTTTTCCTTTTCTGTACTTTCAGTCAATGCAAAAGTTCTTAGATAGTTTATAAGCTAGAAGTCCATATCTAGACAGTATAAATAGTACCATAATCTTTGAATCTTGATAATTATTTTGAGTTCTTCTCAAAACTGAAAAGACAAGGGCAGTAAGAATTACATTATTAATTCTCCTACTAAGTCATAATACAGCATAACTACTAAGATTTGACCAGAAAAGGTTAAACCCTCCATGATATATTGTCCTCTGTTATCCAGTAACTTTTGTTAATCGAGTCAAATCTCTTCTTAGAGAATGGCTACCTCATGTCTCAACAACAGCCCATTAATTTTTTGCCCTGAAGACATTTTACTTTCATGTTAACCTCAAAGCAAATGGTTCTACTTAGCTCTTTCCCTGAGGCTGTCTTGGAGAGGTTTGACCTTCTGGAATTTAATTTTATACATGAAAAAAGGACACTTGTTTCTATTACAGCTGTTATAATAATAATCTAAATTAAATTTTGTTGTGAAATATGCAATATATTATAGCAGTAGTGGCAGAGTCTAGTTTGCTGAATAAAGTTACTGGCTAGACACTTTGAACAAGAGAAGCACATGTTCGTAGTAAATATATAAAGGGCCGTTACCTGGAATTAAGCCTCCAGTGACTTCTTGATTCTACTTCCAGAGAATTTGATATTTAATGTAGTAGTCATGTGGCATCTTTTTCAAGCCACACCTGTTCAGTTGCACCATTTGAGTTACAGTCAATTAACTCTCTCACAGTGAACAATTCCTTGTTAATAACACAGGATGAGTTTTGATTTGACTTCTACATCTGTATTGTCTGTAAGAGTACATTTGTTGTACGGTAGTCAATTTTTTATCTCAGGCAATTTTTGTTTTTCTAATTTGTTTTTGGGTATCATGTATATGTATTCTAATATTAAAAGTTGAAACAAAGGAAATGTAACACTTACCTGAGATAAAAAATTAACTACAACATATACAAGGAAATAACTTTGTGAAAATTAATGGACTTTAACTGTAAGTGGAGTTGCAGAGATCAGCCTTTTCCATAACATTGCTACAGCCAGTATACCACAAACTCTGAAATTCATGGTCAACCTGCTTCTTTTTTGCAGGCGAACAAAAGTGTCTCTCAAGTTTTCGCTGCACCAAATTAAAACTGCTATATCAAATAATTGATTCACTAGATGCCACTCTTTTGCCGTACTTAACTCATCAGTTAGGGTTTGGCACATGTTTTTATATTTTTATACGTTTCAAAGCATGTTGCATCACTTGTCATCTGGAAGCTTGAATAATTAAGCTTTAAACTCCAGTGGTAAAATAAGCTTTTTCATTAGTTTCTATTGCATCTCAATGGCCTTTGGTCATTGAATGCAGATTGAATAACCGATTGTATAATAAGACTGTAAACTTTTCGCGTTGAGAGTTGTTGTCACTCATTACTGTTTTCATTGTATCTTTGCCTGCTGCTCTCTCTCCTTGCTCCTCACAATTTAAAGACTGATTGTAGCTAAGCAACTGTAAATAAAATCGTTGAATTAAATATGAGTCTTGTTTACTGTGTTGTTCAATTCCATGTTCATGATGCACCGTGATTCCTTTTGTTGACACTGGAACTAAAAGGGCTTTCTGTGATTCACGCACACACCTATGAAAGTGGTTCTCATCGATCACATCTCTAAGGTAACTGCATAAATTATGTTCACCAGCACTTCCTAACCATCAGTTACTGCTAGTTACATAGACACTTGGAAATAACACTCAAGCAAGTCATTCATTGAACTGATGGCCCTGAATCCCATTGGGATTGGGATGCTCAGAATCTGAGTTGAGTAATATTAGTGAGGTGAGGCTTTACTCCCCTCATGTTATTACTCTTGCCTCACCCTCCTTCCCTCCTGAGTCCTCAGCTTTTGGGCCAAGGGAATGGTTGCTCTTCAGACTAGAGCTGTTTTAACAACACAAGCAGGACAGTTTCTTGAAAAGGAAAATTGGACTAGTCATTGAATGTCTTTAAAATCTATCAATACATTTATCATTGTAGTTTTTTTGTAGTTTTAGCAAGAAAAATATGTGAACTGAACACGACCTCAGGTGCTTAATTTGCTGCTCTGCCATTGATCATCAGAAATACACATGCTGTCATCACTGTTGTTGTGTTGCCTTTGTTAAATCTGCCTAATTGAAATGGATAAGTGTCATAACTATGAATCTCCATAGGGAAAGACTTGTTCATCATCTACCTTCATGAAAAAAACAGTATTATGTCTGTGGTGAAAGAAAATATCATTTCACTGGCCTGTCAAGAAACCTATAGAGGACTCTGGCAAATTTTGGGCTGCAGATAGAGTGGCAGGAAGGAAGGGGCTGACAGCAAGCTCCATGTGTTTTAACTGAGAGATTTTTAATCAAAGCATTTTGATTGAAAAACACAATATTAACAATGTGGGGTAGTGAAAATCTGCTGAGGGGTAAACTATGTTTTTGTTTGAGCAAAGATGAATTTATTGATCATTTAATAAATGCTTAATGACTGGTCCTGAGGGAAAGAGTTAACAGTTTCCCGATGGACCAGTCTTTAAGTGATTTGTTATACAATGGAACCCCGTTAATATAATAGCTTATAATCACCAATGGGCCATAAAAATTTGACCGTATTGAAGGCAGGGTGACCGTACTAAACAATGGTTTTTTACAAGAAAATGTATGGACGTTTTACCAGGTGGCAAAAAAAGTGGTTGTAATAACGAGGTGAATGTATTACCAAGGTGGCTGTAAGGCAGGGTTCCACAGTATACCTGGAAATTCATTAAACCTCGCTGTAACCGAAGTCATCAGTCAACATTTGCGGGTAACATTGTTACCCTCTGACATCATAGATTTTGCAATGTTACCCACTCAGAGATTTTGGCAGGAAACAGTTTCATTGTTGGAACTCATGTGACCTTGAAGTAACCAATGAGAGCACATGCTGTTGAGAAAAAATTTCCAGATATATAACAAAATAGTTTGCTGTTTTAATTGATAACTCTCACTTAACTAATATTGACTGACTTCAAACTCCAATAAGGTTTTGATGCTTTGGTTATTTTCTTGAATAATATTTCAATCTAACAGTGAATTAATTTCTTGAGATAGTTTTTTAACTTGCTCAATAATCCCTTCTTTGTCACCAGTATAGAGTCTATTACCACATTTTTGCAGAAATTTATCCGGGTGCCACCTTACTTGCTGTTCTTTCAAAAACTTCTTTCTTCCTTCTTCTTCCGATATCATTTCTGACCACTTAACAATAAGATTAATCATTTCTGTAGCATCACCTAGTTCTCCAGGCCAGGGTATATCAGTAAACGAAAGATCTGTCCTTGAACCACTGTCAAAGACTATTTGACATTGAGTTTCATACTCAGTCTGAGATGCTGCCAGTTTTAATTTTTGACGTTCAATTGAAATTCGTGTCATGTAAGCCTCATGTTCCTGCTCAAGCTCTTTTGTCCTCTTTCTTGCCTCTTCTTGTCTCTCATATCGCTTTCTTTCTGCTTCTTTCTGTTGTTTTCTTTGACTTGAAGCCTTCTTTTGTCGCCTTTCACGCACAATCCTCTCCACCCATTCATCATAAGACTCGTGAGCTGATTCGTGGTAATCTTCCTCACTGTATTTACAAAAATCTTCTTGACCAGCTTCAAACTGCAACTTCCGTTGCCATTCTAATTCCTCTTCTTGTTTTGACATCTCCTCCATTTCAGTTCTCCATTGCCGTTTTCTCAGAGCCTCTGCTTCCTCTCGCCGCTGATAGTAGGCTCTTTTTAACTGACTAAGACATTCCCTTGCTGTTTTTCCGTCGCTATTTTTCATGTCAAGAACTTGACGACTACATAAATTTAATAACGGTACAATCAAGTCATTGAATGCAGAAATCCGCGAAGTTTCTGTGGCGTATTTCAAAGCAAAGTGAAGAGCTGTATTTCCATCGCTGTCTTTAACTCCCACATCTGCTCCGTTTTTCAAAAGTAACCTCATTATCGCATCATTTCCGAGAAGACAAGAAGCATGCAGAGCAGACCTTCCTTTACAATCCACAATAGTAGTTAAGTAAGATGGTTTGTATTTCTTAAAAAGCGATCGTACGCGATGTAGCTTCCCAGCCTTAATGTAACGAAAAAGTTTTTCTTCCGTAGACTTACCCATGATTTTCTGGCTGAAGAAAAAATGTGTCAAAAATCCGCAAGAAAAAGGTTAGAACACACGACACGACAAACCGCCATATTGGAATTTTAACATCTAGAGCCCAGCTGCCCGCTCGGTCGTTCTCACCACAAGCCTCATTTCCAGTATTTTCTCTTCCGGTTTGAATAAAAAGCTGATAAAATAGCTCATCTACATTGCCAAGAATATTCTATTTTCACCCGCGAAATAAATCTACTGGACCGAAAAGCGCTGATCAACAATTTGCGCTTATTTCATTGCTCTGATGCAAGATTCGAGATCTGGTACAGTCCGGTGCGATCTGATGAAACAAACAAGAAAGAGCTGAGCCTGCTATTAAATGTAACAGGGCAGCGTTTTTTCACGCATGCTGACGCATGCTTTATTCTATTCGTAGTTCAAACACTTTTACTTTTCAGTACCAAGCTAAGAGAACGATATTTCTTCAAAATAAATATGGCTGAATCTGACTGGGACTCGGTCACATATCTTCGCAAGAAAACACCAAGGGCAGCTGAACTCCGATCAAAACAGGTATAATAAATAGATGAGGTAACTGTGATGATGTACAAAGCTTTAATACAATAATGTAGAGTTGTGTTCATTTGCACGGAGCATTATTTCGTTATTTTCTCTTGCAATTATTGTTTTTCTTTTTAAAAACTTGTCTTCTGAGTGTCTTGAGGGTTTTGAACATAGTTTACTGGGACAAGACCTGACTAATCATAAAACTAATCATAAATATAACAACTAATTTGATTGGCTATCAGCAGCCAGCAAGATCCTCCCTGTCAATTCTGGAATTCATGATCATATCTGGAAATGTCATTTCTCTTGAATGAACAGAGTAAAATATTTTCCATAGAAGAAGGGTCAGGTTTGGGGGTGTTATCAAGGCTAAAAATTGATAAATTTACACTTTATTTATGCGACTTTAGATTTAGATGTAAAGGCTGGCATTACTTATTGGGCTTGAATAACAACACCATTGCTCTACATGTTTGAGGCAAATTTATATCAAAAAAGCTCCACGTAGATTCCCTGTTTACTTAAGAGAACGTGAAGTGGTGAAGGCACCAAACAGAGAAGGTTTGAACACTGGAAGTGACATTGGGTTGAGTTTGTTTTTGGTTCTTGTCAGGCCTTTCTTTAAGATTTTTTTAATCTGTTAATAATCAGTTTAATAATTTTCCCCTGTCTTCAAAATTGAATGTTTCTAATTCCAGTTAAATCAGGAGTGGTAAACAAAGAACCGCTTAGCACTACCTCTAAATTGTTATTTGATTTATTTCTTATTTTTAAAGGCAGTTGCACAAGCACAAAGACATGGCGGTGCTGTAGAAACAACACAAAAGTGTAAGTTTATGCCCCCTGGTAGTTTGTATGGTTGTAATGGTAGTGACACTACGTAATGAAAATAAAGAATATGATCTCATCATTGTCCTGTTTTGCAAGTGAATTCTCCATACTGTACACTAGCAGGGTATACAGAAGGAAGGAGGAAAGAAAATGTAATGTGTAATAACAATTTTGTTTTACTTTTAGATGGTGCTGGTGCAAACAAGCAGCACTCTTCCAGCAAGGATACTGCTAAACTTGATCGGGAGACAGAAGAGTTACATCGTAAGTACATTTATCATGATGTCTGTTTGCACAGAAAACTATTCCTGATAAGAATCAGTGAAGCTAAGCACATTCAAGTTGTTTAAGTCATCACACTCCAAATTAAGTTTTAAGTGATTGTTCAGTCATGACAAATGTTATAACCTGTAAGCCAAAATCAGATGCTAGTGAACTATTAAGAACACAGCATTTTAATTTATTCATAGAATTCCTTGCAATAAGTAAAATCTGTAAATAATAGCCTTATTGGTACTTAATTTCGTGGGTCTTTAATAACACATTTTTCTGTGGGTTTTCGTGTGTGGCATATGTTTCAATATTATTTTATTAAAAGTTGTAAAACTGAACAAGATTTTGAGGGATAGTCTCTTGATTTGTCTAGAACAAAAAAAAGTGGTCTCCTGACCTAAGGTGAAGCAAGTCCATATCTGATAAATTGTTTTGAAGCAAGTCTGAAGACCTCCAGTGAGGGTAGAGCTTAGCACTTTATTTCTACGACATTTCTTGTTCTTCTTGGTGGTTGAACTGTCTTGGTTATTATTATAGTCCGCCATGTTTGCAGTTTTACACATGCAAGATGTGGACTGTGATTAACCTACAGTGAGATGTTTGCTGAGAAATTTCACATTTTCCATCATGATGATGGTAAAATTCTAATTTTCTGTAATAGTAGAATCCTATTCACTAAGTCCTGTGAAATCATTCACAAGGTTCGCTTTAGGCGGGCTACAGTTTTGTAAAGTTACCGGACGAAAGTCAGTTTGAGCTATTAAAATTTTTATCAGATGAAAAAGTTTCTCTTGATGTTGGAAAGCTCATTCAGCAGATGAGAATGGAGAAGAAATTAACACAGAAGGACTTAGCAACGGTAAGATGACCATTCAGCTACAGTGTTGTAGACATGACATCTTCTTAGCACCAACTATATAAATACCAGGGGCCGGTTGCTCGAAGCCTGGTTAGCGCTAACCGTTGGTTAAGAGGTATCAAAATGTATAGGTTTCCATGGTATTTAACGCTGGTTAGCACTAACCATGCTTCAAGCAACCCGGGCCAGAATGGTAAGTGTAGGAAGGGGCAAAAATGGCATAGAGTGCTGCAAAGTCAGCTAAGTGTCAGGTTTTTTATTTATTGCCACCTTAATCCTTTCTGGCTTTAGCAGTGCAACCCAAAGGTGCAGTTTTAGGGTGATATTCAGACCACGGCATACTAGACCTGTCTGGTCCGAATATGGACATCAACTTTATTTGAACCTCTCAAAGTCAGTTTGGCCATGTAATGTTAGATCTTTTTTGTTCAGTTTTCTTTGAATGTTACATTTCACATGCTATTTTCAGTCTTTTCAGGGCTAAAAATTGCACCTGTATCAGGCTCATTAGCGAATAAAGATTTCGATTTGCGACTAAAATTTCTCCATTGGTAGCAATTTTGTGACCGTTTTATAGCCTAGCTTATAAATAAATTATATTTAACAGCCTTGTGTCTTACTTGTTACTGGTTGCTGTAGTTTTGTCTGAAAAATCCTGTGAAAAAATTAAGGAATTACTCGCAAATTGCGATGGAGAATTTTTTTTAATTTTGAGCCCTGCTTTTTTAAACCACTGAAGAAGAAGGATCGCCCTTGAAACATCTTGTTTTCCTCCTTTTTCAGAGCATATTTTTACAAACTTTGACATTTGTACAATATTAACTGCATTACACAGATTTTTATAATTGTTTCAAAATTTATAAACCTGTCTTTGCGAAGATTTTTCAGACCCATATAAAACAGTTTACTGGTAGATATTGTTAGCTAAAGCATATCCTTGGAGTTTTGAGCTTACAGGTGTTTCATCGTGTCTTCTAGCTATCACAATTCTGTCTTTATTTCTCAGAAAATCAATGAAAAGCCTCAGGTGATAATGGATTACGAGTCTGGAAAAGCGATTCCAAACAATCAAGTGATGAGTAAGATTGAGCGTGCACTTGGTGAGTGTAAGGAACAATACATCACCATTATGTCTCTGTTTTGTTAATGGTAAATTGACCCCAATTTCGGCATAGGCTTGGCACCCATGTTAGCCATGCGTACCAAGCATTCATGGTATTCTGAATTAGTATTTAACTAAAAGAGGTGGTGTTCATTGGTGATTTTTTCCTTTTTTAAATGTTGCAGGTGTCAAGCTTCGTGGGAAGGACAAAGGGAAGCCGTTAGCGCCTGGTGGCAAGGGGAAGAAGTGACACTTCGCAAAGCTTGTGTTCAATATCATTTCACTCCTTGCCAGAGAATGAAGATCAGGATGTCTGTTCTCCTAAAGCAGCATAATTTTATTATATTTACAATAAACTGCATTTTGAGCTCTGAAAATTTGTTTGTCAAAGCAATAATCACCGGTATCTACCACATTTTGTTAGCATGATCCCATCTGTCACATGCCTTGTTCACTTTCATTGGGTGCAGGCATGAGTGGACGTTCGATTAAATTAAAAGTTTTCAATCTGCGGGCATGAGGGCTGGCAGCTAGATAGCCTGCATGACAGGTGCTTTATGAGCCAAGCGAGGCGAACGTGATATTTCGCGCGGAGCGCGACACGAGCGCGAAGCGCGAGACGAGGGAAAGAGAAAAATAAAGCTTTATTTCTCTCTTTCCCTCGTCTCACGTTTCGTGCTCGTGTCGCGCTCCACGCGAAATATCGCGTTCGCCCCGCTTGGCTCATAAAGCGCCTGTCATGCAGGCTAGCAGCTAGATTGCAATGCATCTCATCAGGCCCCAGTTGTTCAAAAGCTGGATGGTGCTATCCATCAGATAAATCTCTATCTAGCAGATTGATATTAGGGAAACCAATGTTATTGCACTATCCAGTGGATAGAGATTTTCGCCATCCACCTTTTCAACAACTGGGCCCAGGTCTTTGAAGAGGCTTAGGCTGATGGAATCTGATGCTTAGAGCCTTGATTCTTCAGATCAATTTAGGTTTTTTGGAAACTTCCTACTTACCCCTCCCCTAAGCCATCATTTTGCCCTAAGTGAGAAGTAAGTGTTAATGTTAGCTTAGGGAAGGGGTAGGTGGGCAAACAAAATTGTTCCAATTCTTCTTTTGTGTTGAAAGGCCAATACTTCTATAGAACACGAAATAAACAGAATGGCTCAGTATTGTGAACAATATTTAATAATATTTATCATTTAATTGCAATATCAAGTTTTTAACCCTTGGCTATGAGTAAATAAGCAGCCTGTGAGGAAGGATCTCATCCCTTTCTCGCTTGGTAAGCAAGCTTAGAGGGAAGGATACATTTGTAGGCTATAGAGAAGTGACCAAAACTTGTGGGTCAGTAATGTTTAGCTTGTGCGCAAAGTTCAGAAAAAACTCCATATTGGTCTCCTGATGAGCTGTCTTTGGAAGTAGTTGTCGAACAGTAAAGTTTACTGATTAACTTGGAGTGCGTACTGTCTCTGGAAATAATCGGTCGGTTATTTAAATAAAGTCTAACTTAGACCGCTATTTGAGAAATTTTTGAACCTCCAGATATCTTCCCCAGTGGGTCAATTTAAGGAGACAAGTGCTTTTCTAGTCTGTACTATATGTTGTAATGCAACTGTTCACCAAAAATGGTGTTAAGATAAAAGCGTTGTGCAAACTGAAAATGACTTAGAACGCCGCTTTGTTAAGCACTGGTTAAACTCCGTTTAAATAACCGGCCCAATTTGTTTAAGAGGACATATATGTCCAACAGTAAAGTTGACTGGAAATTTTATTTTTCAATTTCGGGTCATTTCAATCATTCACGCGCTTGTAAGACAAAACTGCCAGCTACACCGTCAGGCTCCCTCTCCCCTCGCGTGTCTCCCTCTCGCGCGCCCGTTCTTTCTTGCCCACACTACTTCCAAGCGCCTGCTACGCAGCTATCTTGTTATGAAAGTCTTCCAAAATGGTACAATGTTCGTGAACATAAGTTTGTTTTACTCGCACACGAGATCCTATGTCACGCAATGGACGGCGACAACGTTATGTGGTGGCCTGAGTGTGTAGAGCCAACCCCTCCCCTCAGAAAAAATCGCCCCTTGGCGGCGCAGTTAAAATTGCCTTTCGGCGATTCTTGTTTGAATAAAGAGACCATTAGTGTTCTTTGTGCCAGCCCCAACGGTGTTGGCTTAGTGAGAATTGACTGCTGTCACCAGCTGGCATCCTCCAATAAGTTGCCAATACTGGATCAAACTCCCCTCCCCTCTCATACCTCCAGTTATTTAAAGGTCAGGACAAGGTCTTTAATTTTTTGGTTCAGCAGTCACTTGTGTGTACGATAGCTAAGTCCACCGTCATACAGTGTTCGGCACCAAGACGCTCAAATAGTGGTAAGATTTGATGTTTTCTATCTTTTGCCTTCTCGAATTTGGTTAAACTTCTCTAGTGCTTTTTTAGGGCAGTCACATAACTGCCTTTACTGATTGAATTTTAAAAAGGGTTGTTTTAAAAACAGTCACATAAAACTATCGCGGGAATTTGAGTAAATCAATAGCTCTTTGATTTAGTCAGAAATAGTGGCACTATTACCCACGGGCTGAAAAAAGGTTTTTCTCCTCTCGAATTTCTTTTCTCAAATTCAGTATAACTACAAGCTAGACGTGAAGACAGTCATACTTGCATATATCCTAAGACTCAGCTCAAACGAGTTCTGTTCTCTGTGGCAGCGATTAATCCTTAGTTTTTCTTTCTTTGTTTAATTTTGTGCATTTACAGGGATGTATTTCAGCTTTTAGTGCAAAAGGAAAGCGCAAACAAACTTTTTAAACAGCTACATTGGCGAGCAGTTCATGATTATTTTCAGCCACTAACACTGACAGAACATGAACAGATTAGATCATCCGTTCTATGGCTTCGTTCGCTACATATTCAGGCTTATCATTTGTAAATCATCACCTTGTTGTCTTATGTTAAACACACACTTTATGTCTTTTTTCTCCGGAATCTGTCCGGAATCCGGTCATTATAAGTGCTGATTGGACCCCCCGGGGGGTACTCCCTTATAAGGGCTTAATGGGGACGTGCGGCCAGCCAGGGTATGTTTTTCGGGATTTTTGTCTTAAACAGGGTATTGATTTTATCAATTTTTGTCTTAAACAGGGTATCTTTTCTTAGACAGGAGCCCATAATCCTGTTCTTAGACGATAAAGAGCCTGCGCTTATGTTCTACGAATATCTTAAACTGGGTATCAAAAATCGTAATTCTGTCTTAAACAGGGTAGGAAAATCAGCGATTTTTGTCTTAAACAGGGTCAGGCTATGTGGGGCCGAGCCGCACCTCCCCACCCAAGGATATATCGAGTACCCCCCCCACCCGGGGATTGGACGTCGGAGTAGTTATATTGTTCTAGCTATTGTTTACGAATGATAGACAAAATATAAACGCAATGAATCTATAACAAAATAGCCAATATTTGGGGAATATATTTCTTCTAGAAGGAGCATTTGAGATTTGCTGGAGCTCGTTCGCAAATGAACACAACACTTTGCCAAAATCGACCAGGAGAAACGTTAAATTGAACAAATTTGCATCTGGAACCCCATGACCACCGGATTTACAGTATGTTAACATTGATTTGCATTGATTAACATTGACATGCCTAAATATCTTAGTCAGTATTAACCCAGTCGTAAATAGCAAGATTATTCACTCTGTGGGTCAAATTCCATCATGGTTTTACCATTTCAGTTAAAGTGCTTTGACAGAAATTTTGCTTACTACTATTTATGTCTAAGGATTTTACATGAAGAAAATTTGGATTTCTCAAGAAAATTAAGGCATGTGTGTTTTTCAGTTTCCCTCAAAAAGTCGAGGGGTGGTCTATATTTTGAGGATTAAGGCCTGTAGGGACAAAACTTGAGTAAAATAATGACTCTCGAAAGTTTATGCGATTCCGAGTAAACAAAATATCTAAATTAGATCACGTGACCTTTAACGGCCATTTTTTGCGAAAAAAAACTTAAATTAGAAATGGCACCATTTTATAATAGTAGTCAATCAAAGAAATTGCAACCAAATGTGTCCCTAGACGAACGACTAGACATCTGTGACCGGGCTTTGTTGAATAATTTATTCAGAGTGTAAACAAACGGAATTTTTTAAATAGGTACCCAGTCCCCTTATCAAACGATTTTCGAATTTCGTTCCTATCTAAAAGATCAACTTGGAAGGCCCGTACACAGAAATGATGTACCCACTGGTCTTATAACTATGACGATAATCAAAACTTCCAGAAAGTAATTAAAAATGGTGCCATATTACCAAATAGATTTTTGTGCTAAAAATAGCCTTAATAGGTCACGTGACAATTAGTGACTCCAATCATCATTCAAAGTTATTAAACTTATACCCAGGAAGTTTGTCCATGAGTTATTTTGTGCTATATTGAAAGCTTGAGAAGTTAGACCACCCCCTCCCCCTGTTTTTGAGGAATTATATTGAAGACCCACGCCTTAATTTTCTTGAGTTTGATGTGAATGTTTTCTTTGGTTGGAGTTCAACATGTTTTTATTTGTTCCTTCAGGGGACAAAACTCGCACGCAGAGTATGGTGAGTATTGTTTTTGTTGTTGTTGTTGTTGTTTTAGTTTTATTGACAAACACTCTGCAAAAAGAAAGTGATGACACTTATCTGCAAAAGATAAATGAATGATTATTCAATGATCATTGTTTTGTGTTTCCCAACATCACGTCGGTCGTCAATGCGCTGTCGTATTGTCGAAATGAGAAAAAGAAAAAAAAAAAGGTAAAAACAAAAAACAAAACAAAAAAATGTCTGTGGACTGGCTACAGCCTTAGCGGGTAATGAATCTGTTTTTAGGACATCCGTATTATTTATATAGACAAATCTTTTAAAACTTTTGTTCTGATCTTTAGTTACTTTTCTTTTATTCAAGTCTTCCAACATTCCCATTCATGAAGATTGCGCAAGATGCTTTAACGACATGAAAATCAGCAAGAAATATGGCTACATGATCATGTCGATCAAGGACAAGAAAGAGGTGGTGATCGATGAAGTCGGAAAGCCGTTTCCCCCGGACTGCACCCAAAGGGAAAACGAAGAAGTGTTTAACAGACTGAGAGAAAGGATTCTGGCTAAGGAGCAAGAACCTAAGTACCTATTGTTTGATTTTAAGCTGGAAACTAGAGATGGCCGAAGAGAAAAGATAGCATTCATCAACTGGTAAGTTCAGTAAGTGCTTAGGAAAACATGGATTAATTAAGTTACAGCAGTCTTAAGTCTTGATCTCCACTGGCACGTTATCTTGAACAGAACAGTGGGTTTCTATTTATCATACTACCTTGCCTAATCCCTAGGCCTCATTATTGCGCGCGACCAATGCGTTATGGTTCACGTGGTCCGAGCGAGATTTTGAGGCCGTTCGTCTCGGATGCGTCCCCAAATCGTTGACCGAGAAGGCCTGGGAATGCACCGTACAAGGACTAGGTAACATTTGGTAACATACTACCACTTACCTGACCACGTCAGGCACTCTGTTCTTCTAGATTGAAGATCTTTTTGCGTCATTTCAAATGCTCTCTCGTCCTTGCTAGCTCTATAAAAACCAACCCAAGAAACTAACAATCAGCAGCAGAGGGAGCCCATCAGGACTGAGTCTCGTACATGTCAATTTGCTGGTGAAAACTGTTGCGAGTGTAAGCTTTGTTTCTTCATTTTTTTTAGGTGCTCTGACAACTGTTTGGTCGATAAAAAGATGGTACAATCAAGTACTTCGGATGTGTTAAAAAAGGTTCTTCAAGGTGTTAGTGCGCACATTCAAGCAAACGATGCTGACGAGTTGGAATATAATGAAATCGCCAGGGAAGTTACACGGAAAAAGTAGAGATTCAAATTACATTTTCATGGTGGCAGGAACTTTAACTATCAGCGGTCATACATGAATATCGTGTCAATTAAAATATTTGTTCAACGGTAATAAGGCGCCTTAATGTTACATTTTTACTTTTATAGTGCATTTTACCTGATAGTTTGAAGGACTACATGCCAAAAAAGTTGTCAATGACTTAATCATTTCCCTCAGTCTCCAAGCCCGCTTATCTCCTCTCTGGATCACAATTGAAAATGCAACGGTACAACTCACTCCCAGGGCGACGTGGCCATATGCACTAAATATAAGCTACATGGAAATAAAAAATCGTTGGGGAACATGACGTATTGAAAAGACTGAAAAAAAGGAAAATATTAGGTTCTGTACCTTGCTATCACTGATGAACAATTAAGAACGAAATTCTGGAACAATTGTCGCGTTCGTCAGAACGCATCCTAATCTTGGTGCTCATGTGGTACAAATTAAAGCCAACCATTTTCTAGGTATCACGGGCAACTGCAAATTACCCGCCCATATTAATTTTATCAGGAGCATCTCGGCTGGGAAACTGGACTCCTTTCGACTCGATTACGTTTCCTTTAGGGAGGAACGCGGATCTGTAATCAATGATTAGCTCTAATTTTAGGAGAAGTTTTAGTATTCCCAAGTCCACGGCAAGGTGGAGAAAACGAATTTAGATAAATTAGAAGGACTGACGTTTATTTAAAAAAGGTACGAGAATCAGTTCCTTTGTTTGTGTAGGAAACACACGTATTTCCTATCATTTTTCGATTTAGGCCATCTTAGAAGCCCCTAAAACACTGACCCATTTCCATCCCGGAGGGGTACTCCCCTATAAAATTGACGGGGGTGCTAGTCGGAAAATTTCGCGAACACCCCTAAAAGGTACAAGAATCTTGTTTTATGGGCGTGTCCCAAATTCATTTTAAGAAATTAACCCCTATAAGAGTGTACTAATTCAACAACAAACTGGCACTGCAAATTTAATAGTAATAAAGAGTAACTTTCGAACACTTTCGTCTCAAGGACTTTTTGAAAGTATTGTCATAAATCTTTATCCTAATAAAGCGTATCAACTTTGGCAGCAGTCATTTTAGGTGTTAGCACCCTAAGCGGTACCAATCCACAAATTTGAACCCCTAAAAGGTACAACGAGAACCCCCTTCACTTTTACAGGGGAGTACCCCCTTCGGGGTTCTCAGTCGTCTTCGTAACGCGAACGGAGGGAGTAGCCGGAGAAGAGAGGGAGTGTCTCTTCCTCGCTTTCATACTTCCCAACACATCATGCGTAGTTCAGTGAGAGACGGCAGGAGCCCATGAGGATAAGTCCGATTAAAAGGTACTGTGACAGTACAGCTTGAAAGCACTCTAAGTGGATCCACGGATGTTCTGATTCTTGAAAGCTACGACTAGCATCTCTGTTTTATCGGTCAATAGAGAAGAGAAGTGTGACGCCACAATACTTTAACTCTGTGAAATTGGTTAGCATATTCAGAAAGAACCAGATTAAAAGGCCCCCTTGCCAAAAATCAGCCTGCCAGTGCAAATTGGTACGGGCACCGGTTTGCTCTTATGACTCCCTCTTATATAAATGGAGTCGCCGGAGAGCATGACGTTAACGTTCTATATCTCCTCAGCAATTTGCGCTCAGGCTGATTTTGATTTTTTGACGTGTTCACTTTTCTTCTCTATACCAGCAGGAAAATTTCCCTGAAATGATGAGCGCTCAGTGCACAGAGACTTTATCTATAACACCTGTGGAGCACTAGTTATGACTGTAATTCACTCGACTAACCAAGATGGAGTGGATTGAGTGGCTACTAAAGCACAAATATCCTATTCAATCCTATCCTTTTGGTCTTGCTGCAGTTCTTTAAAATTCAGAGCTTTTCTCTTTTACCAGCATCAGGCTAGTATACTGCAACCTAAGTATGAAAGTAAACTTGGAAGTATTAAAAAGATCTCATTGGGAACCAGGTTAAAAATCGCCGCTCGCAAGGAGACTGAGGTGAGTCTCCTTCGATCTTCCTAGATCCTAGATCCTAGATCGGGAAAGATCGAAGCGACTCTGCTAGCAGGGTACTTGTACACAGACGTTGTTTTATTTTTCTTTTCGTCCTTTGCGGTCAATGTTCCGTTTCCGTTTCCGTGATTGCGTTTCCGCTTCCGTTTCCGTTATTCCGTTTCCGTTTCCGGATTCCGGATTCCATGTTTTTGTGTTGCCGTGAGCTAAAAACAAAAATTGAGACAAATAAAAGTGAAATTTTATTTAAAAAAGAAATAAAAGTACATTAAAGAATAGACAAAATAATAATAATAATAATTAATAATAATAATAATAATAATAATAGTGATAATCAATAATAATGATAATAAACGAGCTACATTCCCGCCAAACCCGCCTCACCGCCAAAGACTGGCGACGAGTTGTAGGTGGGGCAAATATCGAAGATGGCACCTCGAGAACTATTTATGTTGCAAGAAATTGAAATTTTATTTACACGTACGTGATCGCTTCGATAAAGAAAGAGTCATCTTAAATTTTTGACCGTCCACTGTACAGTCATGAACAAAGTAGAGTTTGCTGTTTGTCGAATCAAAGAAAAGCTTCCCGGGAATCAAGGTTTTGCGACAAAGGGAAGTGGCTGTGTTGTTCACAGTGAGTCGCTTACTTCTTCGTGGGGTTGGAAATGCCATTATTTCATTGTTACTCCAAGCGTCGTGCTGTGTCGGGAAGATCTAGCTTCAAACAAGGTCTTTTTGGCAGAATTCCTGAGCAAAGATAAACGAGGATTAGAAACATTTGAGATTAAGCAAATGGCCGAAGTTTGTAAGGATGTTGTTGGTCGGCGTTTGGATAGTGCTGACCTCGATCTATATCTGACCTTTTTATCTGTAGAACCGTTAGACAAGCGTGGATTTCTGAAAAGAATGGTCAAGAAAGGCAGTTTGCAAACCTACCGACCACTGGAAAGCTTGGAATCCGAAAATAAAACGACAGAAGAACTTACTGAAGGATTATTTTGCCATGTCATCGTTGACCTTTTCAGTGATCAAGAATCCACAAACTCGCCATTCACAACTCAAACTTACAAACTTGTTTATGATTTCCAGACTCGCGAGTTTAGCCTTCAAGACTTTGGCGGAACGTTGATACATTTCAACAACGAAATACCTCCAATTGGCGCTGTCGTTTTCACCAAGAAAGGTGAATTCGCCGGTCTCCTGCGGAACTTTTCAAGTGACTGGGTGACAGCGATCTTTTTGCCTCAGCCCTTCAAAGAAGGTATAATTACCCTTTGCTCTCAAAATCAGTGATATCGTGCGATAATTGTTTTGAATCCGAGCCTGCCATTTAAATGATTGTGTTTTAAGTACAGTTTTAATGACTTGTTTTGGAGTAATCTTGCTTTAATATGTATAACACACCGCAATTGAAATATTGTGATTTGTGATGTTAATAGTCTTGGTCAGCAATATTATCTAGAACTTTCCCGCAATATTTGCCAACAGAAACTTTAAGCGCTTAAGTTCCCCGATTGAACCTTATTTTTAGAGGTTTTGTGGTTAAGTTTGGAATAATTTCCTGCGTATAATGGTGCCCATGCAGCTGTATTTTGCAGAACACTTATTGGCTGATTTATGATTTTATGTAAACACACTGCCTTTCGTGATGTTTTCATAACCCACTGCGTTCACCAATTTTTATTCCCTGAGGGTGCATGAAGTGTGAAAGTTTAAATGTTTTGATTTCCTCTTTCTTCTTTGCCTTTCTTTTCCGACATGCCAGGCTATAAAAAAAATTAAATGAATGAAAAATAACAATAAAATTATTCCAGCTAAAGGAAATTGGAACCTCAACATTCTAACCAACTTAGTACATTGTTTATTCTGAACTTTGGAATTAGTACATTTTAATAATAATATTGATTTTTGTTTTAGAGGATGGTGAGAGAGATGTCACAGCATTAAGCACTAGAGATGAAACAAGTGTTGAAATTAATGGAGATGTAACATCAGAAATTACCTTGAAACAGGAAATTCAACTTGAATCCCATTCTACCAAGTTAGTTGATGACACCCCCCATGCTGAAGGATATTTTGAAGATGTTTTTCCACAGAAAAATAACAATTTGTCACGACCTACTGATAATGATGTTGAAAGAGGGAACAATAATTATCCTAACAGCAGGGATGTTATCCAAAATGGATGTGATGATAGAGCAGGGAGACAAGACAACAGTGGTGTGCTTGTGGTCAAGCAGTTTCAAGAATGTCCAGAAAATCTTATTCCTGGTAATAGAACTGAAAATGTCGAAACTGAGATGTTGTTATTGTCTACAGACAACACAGCTGAAGTTAAAGAATGTGAAGAGAAAGGTGGATCAGGTTTTTTTGATGAGACAGTGAACAATAATTATTCTGATGCAGTGAAAGATATCCAGAAAAAGGCAGGAGACTCTGGTGAGAAGCAAGTGAGCTGTGATAGGCCAGGAAAAGCATCTGTGGAGACAACAGTTCAGGAGGAGGGGCAGGTACTTGTTTGCAAGACAGCCGAAGGTGATGATACAATAAAAAGTGCAAGTGATGTGCCAGAAAGGTTCTCTGATGTAGAAGTAGATCCTTACATGGAGGAAGAACCTTTAGGCCATCTGGATAAGCAAGAGACTAGTGTACTGGTACATGATGGAGACCCTTGTTCACTTGAAAATGGCTCAAGTGCCATAGAGGAGCTTCCAGAAGAATCCCACAGGGCGGTAAAAGCTGCTGATTGTGAAGCCAGCTTGTCAGATTCAACTGAGACTGCAACACATGGTGGTGGAGTTGAAGTAGCAGATGAGTCAACGTCCAGGGAGAGCATCACAGGACATGACAGCAGTTTAATAACTGTCGTCCAAGGTATCACTTGTTTTGTTATTCTTACAAATTTCAGAAAAATGTGTGCATTTAGCAGCAAAATAATAACCAGCAATTAGATAATAGTATCCTTGCAAGGTACAAACAATATAGCAGATGCCCAAATGACAACTTTCTTGTGTAGAAAAAATAAAATAATGTCTTCTAAAATAATGTCTTGTTCAAATGATTGTATGACTGCATGGTGTCATGTGTGATTTAGTCAGTTGCTATTTCTTAAATGGACGGAAGCTGTGTTCTTTGACTATCCTGAGCGTATTTGACCACTGTTGAACATTTAGTTGAATACACCTCTGGTAATCAAGGAGTTGGTCATTTTTCCCTCCCGTTTTGTAGATAAGATCTGTTCTCAGGTGAAACCCCTAGTCAACCTAGCTTTCAACTTCAAATGTCCTTTGTTTCCAAGCTCTAAATAATTATTCATAGCAGATAAAGGAATTTTGTTTTATTGTGAGAACAGATTTACCTACATTAGATACCTGACATTATCTGGTCAGTAGGGTGTCATCATACAGACTTATTTCACTGTAATAGTAATCAAAGATCAATGAATAGGCCACTTCTGAGTTCCAAGAACCCTCATTTTCAAATTGAGTTCCAAAGAACCATATCAAAGGCTTTTCAAAATTTTGATACAGAGGCCCGGGGAAACTCCGAAATGGTGCATTTAATTTCGCTCATTTTAATCTAATGTATTGCCGCCCACCTAAACTTTTCCTCCCTCTGCTCTATTTTTTCTGGAGAACCCTGGTATCCCCCTGCGCCCCTGGGTATCATTTGTCCAGGTTGAAAAAATTCTTAGGTTATGCTAGGGCATCCACTACTCTTGATAGATTCAAGATAAATTTGATTAGATTCTCTTTCATTTTTTTGCATTTTGCTTTAGTAATATTTTTGTGATTGCAAGGTAGTTACACAATATTTGTTTAGTTGTAAAAAAAGGAATGAAAAACCGGTACTGCTCTTTTGTATGTGTTGAAACATTAGTTACGCCATTATATTGATTACAATGGATGTATGTTGCTTTTAGTGGACGGAACATTTCTACCAGTGGAAACCAACAAAAGTAAAGAACAAGGAGAGCTTGATGACTCTGAAACAATTGTTTCAGAAAAGGTACCTTTAGAGAGTAAAGGTGTGTCTACAACAGAACAACCAGGCATATCTGGGGAACAGTCAACTTCATGTTTTTCTGATGAGGATGATGGACAGATTACAGACCTCAAGAAAGATACATGTATTCCTGCAGTTAATCCAGGTGTCATCTTTGAAGACATTCAAGTGAGTGCAAACACAAAAACAGAAGGTGCAAGTGAAACATATTCTGCCCAGATGCCTGGTATCGCTGTGGAGGCAAGTGACATTGATAATCTGGTTGGTACAAAACCAGAAGATTCATGTGAGACAGATTCTACTCAGATGCCTGGTAACATTGTTGATATTGAGCCAGATGATGTTTATAATCTGATCTCTGCAAAGCCAGAAGATGCAACTGAAACAGATTCTTCCCAGATGCCTTGTAGCACTGGTGATATTGAGGCAGGTGACATTGGTAATCTGGTCGGTGCAAAGCCAGAAGATGCAAGAGAAACAGATCCTACCCAGATGCCTGGTAGCAGCGCTGTTGATATTGAGGCAGGTGACATTGATAATCTGGTTGGTGCAAAGCCAGAAGATACAAGTGAAACAGATCCTACCCAGATGCCTGCTGGTAGCATTGTTGATATTGAGACAGGTGATGTTGATAATCTGGTCGGTGCAAAGCCAGAAGATGCAAGAGAAACAGATCCTACCCAGATGCCTGGTAGCAGCGCTGTTGATATTGAGGCAGGTGACATTGATAATCTGGTCTGTGCAAAGCCAGAAGATGCAAGTGAAACAGATCCTACCCAGATGCCTGCTGGTAGCATTGTTGATATTGAGACAGGTGATGTTGATAATCTGGTCGGTGCAAAGCCAGAAGATGCAAGTGAAACAGATCCTACCCAGATGCCTGGTAGCAGCGCTGTTGATATTGAGGCAGGTGACATTGATAATCTGGTCGGTGCAAAGCCAGAAGATACAAGTGAAACAGATCCTACCCAGATGCCTGCTGGTAGCATTGTTGATATTGAGACAGGTGATGTTGATAATCTGGTCGGTGCAAAGCCAGAAGATGCAAGTGAAACAGATCCTACCCAGATGCCTGGTAGCAGCGCTGTTGATATTGAGGCAGGTGACATTGATAATCTGGTCGGTGCAAAGCCAGAAGATACAAGTGAAACAGATCCTACCCAGATGCCTGCTGGTAGCATTGTTGATATTGAGACAGGTGATGTTGATAATCTGGTCGGTGCAAAGCCAGAAGATGCAAGAGAAACAGATCCTACCCAGATGCCTGGTAGCAGCGCTGTTGATATTGAGGCAGGTGACATTGATAATCTGGTCGGTGCAAAGCCAGAAGATACAAGTGAAAAAGATCCTACCCAGATGCCTGCTGGTAGCATTGTTGATATTGAGACAGGTGATGTTGATAATCTGGTCGGTGCAAAGCCAGAAGATACAAGTGAAACAGATCCTACCCAGATGCCTGCTGGTAGCATTGTTGATATTAAGGCAGGTGACATTGATAATCTGGTCAGTGCAAAGCCAGGAGATTCAAATATCATGGATATTGGGTCAGGTGATGTTGACAATCTGGTCATTGCAAAGCCAGAAGATGCAAGTGAGACAGATTCTACCCAGATGCCTGGCAGCACTAACATAGCTATGTGTATTGAAACAAGTGAACAGGTTTCTGGTGGGTTGGAATTAGTCACACAGGGCAACCAAGAATTTACTCGCATTTCTGAAGTGACAGTCAATACCTCACATGACAGTTTGGATGTTTCTGTTTGTAATACTTCTGCAATTGAGGATATTACTGAAATAGGTTTAAAAGATGATAGTAATTTGAAAGAGGACAGTTGCAGCCGTGAAAGTGTACTTGAAAAAACAAACGGAAAGGGTTCTTTAATCGACACTTCACAAATCATAGAAAAAAGTGGTAGTGGACAACCTTTGCATGAAAATGAATTTGAAGAAATAGCTGACACTGATGATCACAATCTGAAAGGAGATAATCAGGGCTGTGATGATGTGGTCACAAATCTTCATGAGAAAGATAATTCAATTGACATTTCACAAACAGCGGAATCAAACAGTTTTGGAGAATTAAATGGCCAACTTGGAGAACCCAGTGTGGTTGAGAATGACGTGAGAACACATGAGGATTGGATTGATAGTGAGGGTGAAAATAATGTGGAAAATGTATCAGGTGAGACTAAGAATGTAAGTGAACAATCTGAACTTGCAAGTATTGTGGAACATTGTTCTCAGAAGTTAAACAGTATTCAAACCAGAGAAGATAATGAGAAAGTTTTGATGCATGAAGAAGTAAATAACAAAGTAACTGAACATGAAAGTGACATCACAGAAACAACTGGAGTCAGTGAGGAATATGCTGACAAAGAGAGGATTTCATTTAAAAAGACATCTACTGAGTATAATGACAACCATGCAGATAAGGAATTCCTTGAGGATTCATCACCATCTGAGGATACTGTTGCTGTGCAAAGAGTAGATGCAGGTATTGAAAATAAATTACATTTGTACTTAAGTGCACTCCACTCCAGTATAACCTTGAAAGAAGACATTTTATTTACCGGTAGTTAGTTTTAGGTAAATTCTTTGGCCACCGAGGGCTGCTTGAGCACTGCCCTGAGCTAACAGAAAATGTACCCAGTCTTAAAAACACAGAGATATGCCAAAATTCAAAGACCCTTTTCATTGAGCAATTATGTGACAGTCATTTTCCAAAATTTCATTCAGACCTGTCCAAGGGCTAAACAGCTTGGAGTTGAAAGCACTGTATTAATCACAAGAAAATTCAGTTATTCAGGTGAAAATATTCCATGTGAAAAGCAGGTTTAGTTCCAGCTTTATTTCCAGCAGTCTAAACGTACATTGCATACATGTATTTCGGTTTTATCATTGCATTGGAACAATTGTTTTTTTCTTAGCATGTACTGACAATGAATTGAGCAAACAACAATATGAGTTGATCATTAGTTATGAATGTTCTTTCAGATGCTCTTCTTTCTGAAACTATTACAAACAGCCCCCACATTCTGAGAGATTTAGGATCCTGTTTAGATACTGAATACCAGTATGGTAAAGTACCATGTTGGAGAGACCTGGCAGAACTTTTGGCCATTTCTCCAGAGGACTATGAAGATTGCACCACCTTCTCGCTGACAAGCCCGACTGAGGATTTGTTTGTGTTCCTGTCAGCAACAAAACCTCAACTTACAATTCAGGAAATTAAGGAGGCACTGAAAGAAATCGACAGGCTTGATGTGGCTCATCTTCTTGATAGGAAGATTGCAGGTTGGTCTCTTGAGTGAAAACAAAGAAAGCAGAAATAATAAGACTCAGTCACTGAGGATCATAAAAAATTTGTCTGGTTTCCAAAGACACAATTATCATGAATGAACCTGCACACTTTTTTTTGTAGAGGAGGGACCCAATGTCTGCCAATAGCTAATCATTATTTTACACCCTTCCTGCCCACGTTATTTCCTAGTAACATCAACCACCTGGATCCTTCCATGTAATCCTTCAGACCCAGTGGTAGCAATTTCAGTTTTGAGGCTTGTAGGTGTTCACTTGGCCATGAAATAAAAATACTTTTTGGTCTGATGGCTTCATTTAGGAATGGTCTGGACCCCATTCCCCTTGATCCACCACAGTGTGGCCAGAAAACATTCTTACTGATGCGGTATAGAATATACACATATTTGTTGTAAGACTCATGATACAACTAATTAGGCCCTTTACAGAACAATATTTTTTTGTCACATGCTTGGATACCAGTCGGCAACAGTGGATGGCACGCCATGTAAGTGTTCATTCAGATCGCAAAGCTTTGAGTGTCGTCCATTGAAGTATTCCTAGTTTAATTATTCTGTTGAAGACTTACAAGACGTTTGAATCAACATTGGAAGGCTTCACCTGATTGTACTCAAAGCTTTGTGAGCCATTGCTAACTGGTATCCAAGCACTTTACAAAGTTCTGCGAAGGGCCCATTTTCTCTTCGGCTTCTGATTACTGGCTAAGTGGGCCTTGTTCCATAAAACCATTTAATGCTAATTTAATCTTTTTTTTGTGATGGCCTACAGTTAACTGACAGTTGATTGGAAGCTTATGTTAAACATGTTAAAAGGACATCTGTTACGCCTTAAGGAACACATTTTTTGTGTGTCAGGAGTTGACTTATTCAATCAATTTGTTACTTTTTGTTAGTGTAACAAAGGTGATGATACTTTTATTGCTAGGTGGTCTCATCAGGGAAGAAAGTATTCTTGGCAATCTGGTTGAGAGAGATGACACTGGTATTCTGGGCCGCATGGCAATGAAACTTGACAGAACGAAGACAAACAACTGGAAAGATCTTGCACTTCAACTGTGTGTACCACCCCGTGTGCTGAGGAACTTTGGGTCTCGTCAGGGGCATAATCCAGCCTTAATGTTGTTCAAGTATATTCCAATATTTGATCCAGATGTGACACTGGATCACCTTAAAGGCTGTCTGACCTCAATTGAAAGACAAGATGCTGTGGCAGTTTTAGAAAAAGCCAGCGTACCAGGTATTACAAATAAGTAAACTTTTATGTCATATTGAGTAGGTCAAAACAAATTAATTCTTGTCATTGCTTTTTACTTATGTTTGAGCCTGCACCACAGACGGAACTCAGTAAAATTCTGGCTCAGTCCTTCTGCCAAACAGTACGGAAATCCTTGTTTTGGGCCCCTCCCTGTGTACCAGGATTTGAGTACGTGCCATGATTGACGTGTTGAAAAGCCAGTGCCGATTTGCCAATTTGGTTTAAGGGAGATTCAATACACATTTCCGTTTGGTGCCCAGAACAAGGGTATCGGATTCAGTCTACTTCAAAGACGTTACTAACCGGCATGAGATTGTTTTCAGGTAATGGAAATTAAGGAATCTTTAAGGATTCCTTTTTGCTGACTGTTTGTTTTACATTTGAAGGAGATGAGCCTGTCAAAGACATTCTTGATGATTCAGATCTACTTGATCGAATAACCGACATGTTGAATGATGACTCTACCCATCATTGGAGACACCTTGCGAGGGCACTCAAAATTCCACCTGAAAAATGCAAGATCTTTGAACCAACAGAAGAGAATAACAGTGCGACCAAATTGTTGTTCAAAAGCATTGAGAAGTGCGAGCCAGATTTGACATTTGAAGAACTTGTACTAGCCCTTGTAGCTATGAAAAGACAAGATGTGTTAGATGTCCTTCAAAAATATTTTTCAAGTAAGTTTAATTTTCTAATTTGAAATCCTATGCATGAGTGCCCGGTTACTTTCATAGGCAGGCTATCAGTAAGAAACCTTGGCACTCTTTTTACTTTTATGTGGGATTTATTTTGTTTTACATCACAAATAATAAGCCTTTTTGTGGAAAACATTTATTTCTGGTAGTTATCTTCAAGTTCAAATTATTGCTTTACCCCTGTAAGTCGATTAATCCTTCATCGTCACTTCATAATGAAGCGTAAATATCATGAAAATGAAGGAAGTGGTCATCAAAGATAATAGTCTTTATTTATAAAAATTCTTGTGTTTAGAAATGTATGTTTCCCAACCATTCGATAGATTTCACCAATATATCATGACTAGGAAAAATTCCAGAATCTATCCCAGCAGTCATTTCGATTTGTGATGTTGGGCAGGGGACGGGAGGGAGGGAGAGGAGCTGAAGTAAGGTCAATAGAGGATTGGTATCTAGCTTGAACTTTTGCTGACTGATTGCTATCATTCCCATTGGTCAAAATTTATTTATTGGTGACCATCGCGCAAACGTGAAACAGGTTGCTGGACAAAATTGAAAAAGTTCCAAATTTCTTTGACTCCTTTCTGGCCAGATGATTGGGGTTGTCTTCTCCTTAGTGGGCAAAATCGTCGTGCTCAAGCCTACAAAATCCGGAGCAATTGGGAAACTATAAAATCCCCGATCATCTGGGATTTTCCTTAACGCCAGGCATAAAGTGTTTAGGCAGCGAAGGACACTCTATTGGTTCAACTAACAGATGCATTGTTAGTTTTCGTTTTTTGAATTTCATTGATCCAGTGATCTTTTCATTATATCAAGTGTACATGTTGATAATAAGACTATGTTTGTACACCAGGTGATGATATTGATCAGATTTTGGAAGAGAACAATCTCCTTACACCAGCAGAAGATCCGTTAGTGGACCAGAAGAAAATCTAGCGTTGTTCTCTTGGAAAAGAGAAGTAAAGAATGCCGCAAAGTTACCTACTTGCAAAGGCCTCTTATCCCTCTTTGGAACATGAGGTGGGCCTCTGTCAGCATGGAAGCAACAAAGGGATTTCTTGTGTGAAGTTTGAATGTAGGATGTAATGTTCTTATTATACCAGTGGCATCTGAATTATGATACACACAAAGGAAACTTTCATGTTGAAAATGCTAAATGATCTCGATACATTATTGTATCTTCTATTTAAAAAAATTGATGAAGCAGGAAAATTGTATTTTCAATAGCCCCTCTACATTTAGACTAATTTTAGGTATTCAGTATGACGCCATTAAGGACCCTTTATTACAGACCACCTGTTTGCACCCCCTTTTTGAACGACGTTTCTTACAATCTTGCTGTGACAACATCAGAATAAAGTATTTCGTTTCGTGTATTCGAAGGGGGCAGAAGGCAAACCATTGTTGCTCGGAGTATCTCTGGAAGGTCGTAATTGTTTACCAGTAGGCTGATTTAACGTGAACGTCTGTTGACGACGGTGCGCGCAAATCAAACAACTGGCTTGACCGTTAGCAGAGCAGCAAATTGAGCACCGGAAGTCGTGTTTAGTCCTTTCCGCGCGCTTTCCCGTCTTCAACTGACGTTTCCGTCCTGTTGCTAAACCAGCCTAGTAGGATGCTTAAAATGTTTGCAATTCTACAATTAGTTTCGGCTCCATTGTTGCCGGCTTGACCATTTAAATTTTTGCAAGGTACACAAGATGCTTCAAAGGTTTTGCCTCTATACTGAACACGCGCATAGAACGGATGAAACCTTGGCTGATAGTTATTCAATTTTGTGAAACTTTCGTTGACAGTGAACAGTACCTGTGTGGTCTTTTCATAAAAATATTTCATCAAGTGTGATTAATATCTAGGAAGTCTAATTTGGTCAAAAGAAAGCCACGAATCATTATTTAATTATCAATTTATTTAGACGTGCTATGTAAGTTATAGAGATACATGTATTAATTAGGACCTTATTAAACTAATTTGTTGTATATATTTTGAAGGCTTTTTCAAAAGGTTCAGGAGTAATTCCAAGGATATGTACAAATATTTAGTGATCTTGTAGACATTCAATGGCTGTATTTATTGTTATAAACATTTTGTATATGATAATACAGTAGTTTTGTAAAGTATCTTTGCTTATTAAGTGATTGGTTGTTTGAAAGGGCTGAAATATATCACTTAAAAGTACACATCAGCCACAAAAAGGTAAGACAGGAAGCGAAAAGTGACCACCCGCTGTTTAGGCCAGCCAATAGTTGTGGGCTCATCAGCTTTCAGGCTCGAACGCTTGCATTACTAGATTTATCTCGTCACGCAACACTCCTCAGGGTATTGCTTGACGAAACAATCAGTTTTCAAGACAGTGACTGCAGCTTCTTAAAAAAAAAACAGGTTTTACTCTTCTATTGACGGCAAAGAAAAGCCTTTGTTGCGTTTTCTTACTCGTTATCATCGCCGTCCTGATTGCTTGAACTCGCGGCTTGTTTTCGTTCAAGCAAGTTTTTTTTTTCTTCTTAGGCTGCCTCCCTCTTTCTTCGCGTTTCCTTCTCTCTCCTTACTAAGTCTGGGCGAGACTGCTCACAGTCTACATCTTTTTTTTCAGTAAACGTAGTGTGTGAGTTAATTTATTTTACCGTTCTAATTTAAATCAGGGTTGGTACAGAGAATCCAATTCTCGAAAAATTTCTTGAAATTTGCCCAGCAACTTTCCAGACCTGGAAAAAGTCTTGAAAATAGAGATATAGTCTGGAAAAATAGTGCAAAGTCTAGAGTTTTTTTTATATTTTTTTTTCAAAGCTACAACAAGTGCTTAACAAGTGAATTTTTTCCCCGTGGTCAAATCTCATTCAATAACAGAATGAGAAGTTTCATAATTCTCTTATGTCCGCATTGCATCGTGGTTACCGTACGTTTGCAGTACATCATGAAAAAAGCTTGGTTCTTGCGTTTTTCAAGGTCTCTATTGATCACCTATTTGTTTATAACCTTGAGTTTGGAAACTAAGTATTGTTTTGGAAAAAGTCTTGAAGTTTGGATCCAGAAATCTGTACGAACCCTGCTAAATGCAATTCTCTGTTTACAACAGATGTCTAATCTCATACGATTGCAATGTACCATTAAAGTTCGTTATTAAAATTGATCAATCGAGTGTCTGTACTTGGATAGAACTTGTAGTTCCTTGTCAGTTGTCGTTTATATGAGCAACAGCAGGATACTCACCATCAGTTTTTTTTCCATGACTTCTGCAAGGTCCATCATATCTCCATCTTCGCATGACTTTGAAAACCTACGCTTTGACTCTTTTTATAACATGAGCACAGGTTGTTGAAGTGTCAACAACGAGTAGGGGATTTTCTCAGTACTATAAAGTAATACTGTTGCGTCAGTCAACGCCATTTTGGCGGGAAAATGTGATAGCCGTCGTCATTCTACTACGAGTTTTAACGAAAATGTCGTAGACTATCGTAGGCGGGGGTGGGAAAAAGTTATCACCGGGAGTGGGTATGGCTAAACCTTCTCTAATAAAATTAACCGCCCTATTTTTGCAGGTGAAAAATAGTGCAATGAAGCTTTCCGGGTTTAATATTTTCGAGAATTCGGGAAAAAACTTCCAGTTAAATCTTTTACTCGTAGTCGTCTTCGTCCTCGAGCTCAAATCTAAAGCTCTCTATTAAATGGGGAGAAGGTGCCGAGAGCTCCATTACATAACCCTTAAGGTTTGGAACGATGCCACACAGGGACTGGGCACAGAGGAGCTAGATAAACACGATCCAAACAGATTTGGAGACTAAGACGAAAGGCTGGTTTTCACTAGCGACAGAGTCGGAGTCGGAGTCGTAATCAGAAGCGTCGAGCTCATGAACTAGTGAAAACAGCGTTCCGATTTCGCTTACGACTCCGTCGCTTACGTTCCACTTATGATCTAGTGAAAACCACATTGTCGGAGTCGGAAGCAGAAGCAGAAGAACCAAACCAATCACAAAGCGTGGGAACGTGCATTCTGATTGGCTTATCCTTCCGCTTCTGCTTCCGACTCCGACAATCTGGGGCGCTTTCCATTTACTCAAAATTTCCGGAATTTCCGGTTCGGCGGTAAATGGAACACGTTTCGTCGGTTCGTCCCACTGGAAAATTCCCAGAAAAAGTGGAAAATCTAAAAAGGTGGTCCCGTTTTCACGGTTGGAATTTCCGAACGGAATCTCGTGTTCCATTTACGTTTCTCGTAGTTTGTACCAGTTCCAGGTCCACGGTCGGGCACCGCCACGTACCGGGGTTTACGACCAAATGGAACAACTTTTTACCAATCGGAAATTCCACTTTTGCTACCACCGAAATTTCCGGGTTTTTTTCCTAAATGGAAAGCGCCCCTGGTTTTCACTAGATGATAAGCGGAACATAAGCGACGGAGTCGTAAGCGGAGTCGGAAGAAAATGGAAACGTTCTGATTCTTCTGACTCCGATTCCGTCGCGCTTATGACTCCGCTTACAACTCCGATTTTTTATTTTCACTGGGTCATAAGCGCTCTTAAGGCTTGTTTTCACTAGCGAAGGAGTCGGAGTCGGAGTCGTAATCAGAAGCGTCGAGCTTATGAACTAGTGAAAACAGCGTTCCGATTCCGCTTACGACTCCGTCGCTTACGTTCCGCTTATGATCTAGTGAAAGCCAGATTGTCGGAGTCGGAAGGAGAAGCAGAAGAACCAACCAATCACAAAGCGTGGGAAAGTGCATTCTGATTGGCTTATCCTTCCGCTTCTGCTTCCGACTCCGACAATCTAGTTTTCACTAGATCATAAGCGGAACGTGGGCGACGGAGTCGTAAGCGGAGTCGGAAGAAAATGGAAACGTTCTGATTCTTCTGACTCCGATTCCGTCGCCCTTATGACTCCGCTTACGACTCCGATTTTTGATTTTCACTAGGTCATAAGCGCTCTTACGACTCCGCTTACGACTCCGACTTCGACTCCGTCGCTAGTGAAAACCAGCCTTAACCCTTCTACGTACCACTTCTGGAAGGTGCAAATGTCGGGGCAATGAAAATATTTTATCTTTCAACGTTATTATCAACTGGTCACATTCCGGTTTCCTTCGCTCATAATGAAAGAATTTCTGGTGTTTTTAGTGATATTTTTTGTGTGGGGTGGGTAAGATAGGACAGTTTAATGCGAAATTCCTTTTTTATTTTTATTGTCATACCTTGCCTAATCCATGTAGCGTAGAATTGGCTTTTGTCTTTTTTCTATCTAGTTGAAATCCCGCCATGATCGCTAGCTGGATTTGTTCGGTGTAGCCCCGATTTTAGCCTGTACACAGACGTTGTTTTATTTTTCTTATCGTTCTTTTGGAAAACATCGGCGTGCGCGAGAGTGAGCGCCCACCACTACCCCTTTGCGCTGGCGGTCAATAAATCCCCTGCAGTTTATTTTTTATCACGCGCGTTCGACGGACTTTGAAGAGAAAATAGAGGGTAAATAGGGTCTGTGAACAGGCTACCCCGATTTCAAATCAAAAAATGAGAAGCGAAGGACTTTGAGAAAGTCTAGACCTGACCGTACATAACCTATCATTTTGAACTTACTGACCAATCACGGAAACATCGCATTAATTTATTCAGTCACAATTTGTGAACTAAAAGCAAATGATTGTGCACGGTCAGGGAGCTTCCAACATAAGCTACAGCACGTTTGTTTTCATCTTTTAATGTTTGCCGGCTTTCATTAAGAGAACGCCAGTCCCCTCTACTAACTATGAGCTACTATGGATTGGCTTACATCAGAAATTCATAAGGGTTACACTTTTCAAAGAACCTTGTTTTCGGAGGGTCTTATATGCGGCACGGAGGAACTTGGAGGGAGTTGTTTCGGCAATTTTGCAATGTTCAAATCATTACATTGGATATGATAAGAGAAGACAAGAACTTTATGATAGTCAGTGGTGTATGCACTAGCGGCCGGGATACCCAGTTCTACATTGAAATCAAGGGGCAATTAAAAGTAGAATGTAACAAAAAATTAGAAGATAATAAATAAATAAATAAATAAATAAATAATAGATAAATCGTATTTAACTTTCTTGTTCTCTCTATATATCCTAGCTCTGGTTTCATTCAAAAAAGTTTGCTTTTGCCTAAGATGTGTACTAAACGTTTACACGCAGATTCATTCGCGCGAGCGTTACCGTACACGAAATACAGACCGCCTGGTCCTGGGCCCTAAAAACAAAATGGCAGTCGAGCCGTGACATTTATTGTTGTGATTTCTTGTCCAAGATCTGGTCCAAGATGAAAGGCTCCCACGGTATTCAAGAAGCCCGAATAGCAAGAAAGCTCGAACTCGAAAAACAACGGGAAGAAATTCTTCTGGAAAGGGCAAGGTTGTTGTCATTAAAGAATGAGCTTAAAGGCGGGCGAGAATCAAACGTTTCGGAAGCCTCAACGACTCCATCCAGACTAAGCGAGGCGATTGAAAGGACGAAGAACAGGGTCCCGGACTTTGAAAGGAAAGTTCAAACACTGAGAGAAGAGAGCCAAGCACGAGCGGATTTACTGAAAAAACCGTATAATGGTGAGCTTGGTATAGGTTCTTATGAGCCATGGCAGTTAGAGGATGTGTATTTTGTTCGCGAGTTTTTAGCCTCCTGGATGGACGAGGTTCTGGATTTTGTTGTACGAGACCACCCCAGAAATATAACAGAACGTGAAGCAACGAAGATTGCTGAAAAGTTTTTCGAGGAGCTTGAATTGGACAGGAAAAGTGATGAAATTGTCCAGCTGAGTTTAGACATTGAACGAAGTATTTTGAATGACGTTATCTATGAGGCTGCCAAGGAAACGGCTAATGAAATCATGGCATTTTCTTCCCAAACTCGTCATATGCTTGATGACGTACTTTTGGATTCATTGGATCTGTATTCTCAACCATATGGTCAGAATAAAGCTGCATTACTCAGCAGTGCTTTAGCTCAAATGAAGAAAGAAGCACAAAGAAAGGCAAGTGCTTGGTCTCATAGTCAAATCTTCCATACAAGAGACAGCTCACTAGGTTCCCAGGAGGAAAGAACCGAGGAAGAAGGAGACTCTTTTGATGGTACTGTTTTGTACTTTCATAATTTAACTCCTTTCAGTAATATTCCAGATTCAGACATGTTAGCAGAGCAAGTGAACTTCCGAAATGAGGAGTCTGACTTTTGGATGGGTTATGGCATTGATCTCTCTATTCTTCCATTACCAAGACGATACAGAGGTGTTTCATGCAGTGCAGTGTCGCCAAATGACTCCCTTGTTGCTCTAGGGACTGTTCAAGGGGATATTGTTGTATGGGATTTGTCAACCTATCCACCACGAATATTGAGAACCAGTCGTGGAAGAAGTTCTGTTATCATTCAGCTCCAGTGGTCTTTGGACTCTTTACAAGTTGTCAGTCTTAATGAACATGGAAACATCAGCATTTGGTTGCTAGGTGACACCACATCTGTGCTCTATGATGTTAAGGCATTTGAGCCTGTCGAAAAGGATCTTGGTTTCAAATCTTCCACCTTGATGCCCTTGCTTACTCTTGAATTGAATGACCTCTTTTTCACACAAGGTCCTTTTTCAGAATCCAGAGATTTGATAAGCAAGGCCACTGCAATAGCTTTTCACCCCTCTGTCTCACTTCTTGGAAAGCAAAGCTTTTTGATGGTAGGTCTAAACAATGGCAACATTTTACGACTCAAGTTCAGGAATTCCCCCTCAATAATGTCCGTAGCACAAGTTCAGCCCCTTAATGGTTCATCTCATAAGGTTGGGAATAATATTGAAGCAGAATTATTCAAATCACATCACCACCGCATTGTTCTGATAAGTTTTGTTAACAGTACTTCTCCCATGGTAACAGTAGATGGTATGGGATTTATTAACCTGTGGGAATATTCCAGCGAGTCTTTAACAGGATTTGGCTGGTTTGTTCCAAGTATCAAGTACAGATTGAACATGTCAGAAGTGACTTATGAACCTGTTCTGGGAGCACAGCAGAAGGTTGAGTTCACAGATGTTATAAAGGGACCAAGTCGAAAGCACCACCGCCTCAGGTAATATGGTTGCTACAGTCTTACCAAGAAAATAGCTTTACACACATTAAAGCCATATTTAAGTGGATTACTAAGTGATCCACTCAAATATGGCTTTAATGTGTGTAAAGCTATTTTTGTGCCAGGAGTGGAGCCTTTAAAAAGTCTTTTTAAAGGTTCCACTCGTGGCACAGCTTCTTTCCTGCAAACTTGTAAGCATGTCACTTAAATAGTACCAATTGTGAGAAATAATCTGCAATGGCATTTTAATAAACATCTAAAAGGTTAATAGCATTGCAAATGGGTATCCTTGAGCCCCGACTGCTCTTGTGGATGAATCTAAAAATCTCCAAGGACAATCGTGAACTTAAACATGTGATCACTTTATCATATGATTTTTCTTTCTTTTAAGGCAAGAGATGATGCAAAACCGGCAAAAGGTGCAGAAGCACATAGACTCTCTTCATTTGGGGAAACCATGGAAGACAGTGGAGGTGGATGATAAAGTTACCCACATTAATGCACCAAAGATTGTCCCAAATGCTGGTGCCCCCTTTCATTGTATTACTTACTATGCTGATTCAGGAGTATTAGCACTCTATGCCACACAGCTGTTCAAGCCTGTTGACAGCCCATGTTCAAGGTTTGTCTCTTGCAAGACAAACTTGAATGGAACTAAGCTTGTTTTCATGTTTCTGTTTCCTAAAGTGGATCCAGCTGAGGCCCATGTGTCATTTGTCATCGTTGATTTGGATCCCACAGTGACAGTCAATAAGAATTGCATACAAATTACTGTTGACAGGAGTGACTATGTGAGGTGCTTGCGTAACAATGCATGCTCCTTTGGGCTCTCACGGCCTATCTATGTTACAGGAAGTGAATACATTGTGGCAAATTTAAATGGCAATCTGAAAGCAGTTTCCATGACAACAGGAAATATGGTCATGGCAGATTCCCAGCCTGGATGGGTGGGGTGCCATCTTAATTTAAAGAAAGGTCAGATATCACCTTCATCAAACCTGCAAGTGGCTAGCACATGCAAAGGATTACAGATATTGCTGTATGCACAGCGGCAAAATTCTGCAATCTTATTACAGTTGAATGATGGAAACTTGCGAGAAAAGAGATTGAAAACCTTCAGAGCCTTTCAAAAGTGGACTCACAGCATAGACAGAGATGGTGAAATGAAAGTGTCAATGCTACAGTCAGTAAGGCGACTTTGTTGGACTTTTGATGGGCATTTGGATGTACATGTTGAATGCTTTATGGAGTCACTGGTGAGAGAGCTAATTGACATTGCTATCCAGTCTGTTGATGGTGCTTTCACTGAGGATCAAAGACAGACTTTTCATACCGAAAACATGGAGATACCCTTTTTAAGGAGGATATCTCAACCTGCAGAGGACAAAGAAGAAGGAAGGGTATCAGACTATAATTCTGAACTGGTTTCTTGAATCTGGCCACTAGGAGAAAGTGGATATGAATTTTCCATGTAACAACCTGTTAGGGAGAAATTTCAAGACTCTCTGATCTGCGGTCAAAGCTTTAGCCTTCCACGCCGATGTTCCTAGGGCTTCGTCATGCGTTCCTTTACAATGCAGGAACGCGTGATGAAGCCCCAAGAATGTCTGCTTGGGAGGTAGATAGATAGAAACTTTATTTATGTGTCAAGAAAGAAAAACTAGCCGAGGGGCAGGCCCTCTACTAATAGGGGACACCTGTCAAGGCTTCCCTTTAAATCACACATAACGACATTGTTCTTCTTATCATGGTATTTGTTGAACGAGTAAACCGTGACAATAGTTGCCATGGTACGAGACTCTGCAATGACCCCGCTTACTTCGTTTAGGTTTTTCACCGAATTGTCAATTAATTCTTACAATTAATTTTTTCTTAAATTCTGAGAAAGCTCTAACCATTGTGGACTTCTTTCCTTTAAACCATTTAGTATCTTCCAATATTATGTGGGACAATGATTAAAAAGGTTTGTCTTCTTCTTTTTGTTTTCGACAGGGCAGGCAGTAGCCTCTATTTTATGTTATATTTGACGTCCCTGCATCGTTCCCTTTCTTCAGTGAAAAACCAACATTCTGTGTCAAGGGCTGAGTGTTAATCGATTTTTTGGGAATACTTTGAAACCGTCTGTTTTTCAGTTTAATGTATGGAAAATTTTGATTATTTGTGGGAATTCTTTTTATGAAGTAAGGAAAGCGGAGTTTTCCCGTCGGGACAAGCAAGACGAGCGACCACACCTCCCCGTCCCCCCTCCCCCGCCCCACTGCTCAGACCGTCAACACTTAATGACCTTCCTGAGTGTTTGACTATTGTGTCCTAAATCCTGTTTATTTCCAAAAAAACATTCCATCATTGCTTATGTTAATTTTTTTACAGTTCTTCCTGTTCATAACAGTCTTTCCTTTTCTTTCCTTTCATGGTCAATGATAAAGGTTTGTCTGCTTGACAGGGCAGGCAGTAGCCTGGGGACGTCCCAGAAAAAATTTGGGAAAAAGATTGGTCGGGCCGTCAGGAGTTTATTGTTATTTTTCCATCGCAAGTGACACCAAGAGAAGTTGACCTAAATCTTTTCAAATGTTCCATATTGCGGGTTTCCCCGGTCTCTTTTAATGGTCAAATAAAGCCTGGGGGCACCCAGATTGGTCGGCCTTCAGGAGTTTATTGTTATTTTTCCGCAAGCAAGCACTTACCTTTCATACGGGTGACCCCCGGACATACGGCGAACACGTAGAGTACGTGTACTAACCACTGGATCATGGATATGTCGGCGCCCATTTTGATAGACACCCGTTAGAAGCTTAGCCTGCGAAAACATCTGTTTCTCCGCGCGAAACGTCCCTAGCGGCGAAGAGCGAGGAGAAAGGGATGTTTTCGCGGGCTATGAGAAGCTTCGCATAGACACAAAATGCGAACAACCGTGAGCTGCCTGGGGAATGGGGGTGAAGATCGAAGAGAGTGCAGTAATTTCCAGGCTCCTGGACAAATCGCGTCCAACATGGCGGAAGGAACATCGACGAAGTTGGAGAGTGTCGCAGATGTCGAAATCGATGCTACCGGGCGCTTCAAGTACATTCTTATTAAAGTAATAGACGAGTCGGGAGGCGGTGTTTATAAATATGTAGTAAGAGGATTTGACTGGGCAGATTATCACGGTAAGTTTTGTAACAGCAGTGCCACTGTAGGGAAAAGGGCCGGGAAAGTTTTGGTTTTTTGGTGGCTTTGAGGCTGTGTGTGGAGTCCTTGAGTGTAACTCTTCAGACGTATAAAGCTATGAGTCTCACGCTTCGGTTTGGAAAGGCTACTACTGCCTCCAATGGAGGCTATTTAGCACGGCCCTTTTGTAGAAATGCCAGCCTCTTCAGATCTGAAATCTTGAGATTTTGTGGGGATGCACAAAGTGCGAGCTGTTTGTTTGTTTGTTCGTTAGTTCATGACACTCGCATAAGGACAAGTAGAAGTTTTTGATGGGCAAGTATTTTTATGCTGACCAATATACAGGTGGTGGACAAAACACTGACCCCCAGTCTATGGACGACCCATATGGATTACCGTATTTATTCGATTAACCGCCCTGTGCGCTTATTAAATTTTTGGACCTTGAGAGTGGGTGCTTATTCGAGGTGGGCGCTTATTCGAGGCTGGGCGTTTATTAAATTTTCAACATTTTCAGAAAGTGAAGTATGTTTATTTTGCAACAAAACAATAAATGCTCATGACAAAACACGAAGAAGTAACAAAGGTCTCTGTAAAATACTCTGAAGAAAACTCCGTCCTCTGGGAAGTCTCTTATTAGAATTTATTCACTCAAGTGGGTGGGGTGGGGGTGAATGCTTATTTGAGTTTGATTGAGAAGGGGAGGGGGTGGGCGCTTATTCGAGGCTGGGCGCTTATTAACTTTTTCTACCTTTAGGATGGGCGCTTATTCAAGGTGGGCGCTAATTCGAGGTTGGGCGCTTATTCGAATAAATACGGTACCCTAAATGGACTATGCCGCTGAAGTTTAGTGATTAGGGTTAGGAAACTGAATGAATCAGGTTCCATTTCAGGTCATTATACTGGGAAAACTGACCTGAAACTTGATTCACTCAGTTTCCTAACCCAAATCTCCAAACTAGAGCATTTTATGGTAGCCCATACGGGTAGTCCATGGACTGGGGGTCAGTGTTTTGTTGACGACCGGTCATTCCAGCTATGAGTTGTTTCGCCAACAGCCTGCTCGCTAATGTCACAAGTTGTTCCACTTAAAAACGAAACAAGTACTACACATGTATATACCTTATTCTTTCAGCCACATCACAAAAAAGTCCGATACACATTACATACCTCATTCTTTAAGCCACTGATCAGCCAAAAGCTTAAACACAACTTAAAATATTAGGGAACAGGATGTTGGCGAAACTACTCATGGGCGAAACGACAATAAACAGTTTTGTCCACCACCCAAATATATGCCTTATGGACAGGGGTCCAGGCAATTCATCTTAAAACTAAATCATTAATGTAGACAAGAAAGCAATGGCTTTCAGCAAGCAAAACACTGAAGCTACTTCTCTAAAGGGCAAGCAGGAATTCAAAGTATTTTAGCCCTTAATGACCCTAAGTAAGGTACCACTTGCAGTATCAGAAATTGATGGCTACTTTTTGGAGCTTTCACTGCTCAAATGAATGTTGCAACTACAGGAATAAAGTGAAAAGTTTTTAGTCAGAGCTCTCCTTATGGACTCTCTCATAAGTACACAGCTCTACTTACAGCCATTGTTATAAATTAATATTGTACTTTATATTGTTCTTTTCTACATTCCCATAGTAAAGTGACTCAATCACTAAATCTGGGAAATCAATTTTGATTTTCCCTTATTTACGACCTTCTTTTTTGTTTTTTTCTTCACAAAATCTCTATACTTGCTTCTTTCCAATATTCTTTGGGTGCGTACAAGAGCGTTTTGATAATGAATTTATTTCTTTGCAATTGACAGCTGATATATATGATAGAGTAGAGGAAGATATTAAAAGAATGGGATTAAAGTCAGACTGTGTTGGAGGAGGCCGGATACAGCATGACAAATCTGAAAAGAAAATTCTGGTTTATGGTTATTCCATGGTAAGCCGGATATTTAAAAAACAGAAACAACAATACAAAAAAAAATCCATTTGAAAAATGTTTTGCAGACAAATTTTTCATTCTACATTAGCAAAGGTTATTCAGGCTGGGAGTTGAGGTGGCTTTACAAAACAGTGAAATATTATTACCATGTTTGAAATTAAAAGTTAAAATTACACAAAGGAAATCAGAATTTCCATGGCATGTTACTGGATAGAATATATAAGTCAGTATAATTTTAGTGACTTAATAATAGTAATAATGATAATAATAATAATAATAATAATAATAATAATAATAATAATAATAATAATAATAATAATAATAATAATAATAATAATAATAATAATAATAATAATAATAATAATAATAATGATAATAGTAATATTTCTGTTATTTACTGTGGGCAGTATTTATAGCACTAATGCTAGTGGGGCTGAGTAAATGCCTGAAACAAATAATTCAGATTGGACTTGAGAGGGTTAAGAATCCCAGCTGGCTTTTTACAAGCATGGTTGAGGATCTGAGCTCGGGACTACCGCGAACAAATCCAGCTAGTGGTCAGAGCAGGATTTGAACTCGGGGCCACTAGTTTGCAAGTCCAGTGCTCTAACCATTCGGCCATGTTGCCTCCATGAAGGAAATAAAAGTGCTCTGTCGAAAAAGGGCATAGGCAACGATTTTGCTGTAAAATATATTGAAATTTCTTTAAGTACATTAAGATAACCACAAATATTTAACCTAGAACAATGCTTCTGATCTAAAAGGCTAAATTGCACTAAAATTCTTATAAATACACAAAAACTTGATTGCTAAAACTTGCAGATTAATATAGAATAATAATATTTAAAATACATTTGGCTGACATATACATCAATAGGTAAAATTTGTGTGATCGGAGTGAAGTGGGAAAACGGTAAACTTTTTGGGATGCTGACTTATGCTTGTGTAGTAGCAGATGTTGAAAACTGGTCTTTCAGTTTAACAATGATTACTTCGACATGCATGCTGTATCAAACTTTTAACCAAACGAACAAACTGTACTCAGAAGTAATACACAACTGCCTTTGATCTATTTGAAGGTAAAGATTGTTCAAAGCCAGCTGAAACCCAGTTCCCCTACGTAGCTTGTGAATTATTCAAGCCCTTTCATAGCTGATCAGCTTCCATTCATTTTGTTTTAAGGGATTTGGTATAGCAGATCATTCCATTACAGTGGATAAACTCAAGAAGGCCTATCCAGACTATACAAGTATAACATTCTCCAATGAAGGCTACTAGTCACAAATGATAAAAGAAATTGAACAACAATAGATTTTATCTATTAGACATGTGTATAGCCACTCTCAGACCTTTTGTGAAGTAAGCCTTAGCACAGCAGGCTTAAGGTAAAAAAGATATCAAAGTGATAAGGATAACTTCTAGCAGTGATAGTTACCTTAAAACTTGTAACAACTGTTCTTTCTTGAAAGACAAAGTTACTCTGGAAAGTACATTTT